AACTCGAAGGCAAATAATTATAATCTACATAAACCTTGTCATTGGGATGAGTCATAGATTTGTGTAGAAGGTAAAAACATGGCAATAAAATGTTTACTCCGGCCTTGTCGGTAAAAATTGTAAAATACAATTAAGTACCTGCCTGTACAAAATGTATCTTTTATCTTAATTTTGCACATAAAATATTTTTCTTCTTACTACCTAACTAATCCAACCTATTATATAAATGCGATTGTAACTCTGTCTGTCTGTCTTTTCTTCACGCTTAAACTAATGAACAGATTTCTGTGAAATTCTAGTTTGGAACGCAAGAAAGGCCATAGGATAGTTTTTATACAAAAAATCTGCAGGAAGTCACTATTCCACGCGATCGGAGTCGCGGGCAAAAGCTAGTTGTTTTTAAATTAAATTAGAAAATAGAGTATATTTACATGTAAACTAGTTAAATAAGGTATTCAATTAACTGCCTAGCCCAATTAATTAACAACTAATTTGGCTAACATCGTGTTGGCTCGAAGGTTAAGACACCCGCCCAAGATAAGGCAAGAGGGAGCGTCAGACTCTTCATCATCATCATCATCAGCTTATAAGTGCCCACTGCTAAGCAAAGGCCTCTTCTCACACGGAGAAGGTTTGAGCATTAATCACCAAGCTTGCTCAATGCGGGTTGGCGATTTCAAAATTATAATTACAAATAATAAGACCAGGTTTCCTCACGATTATACCTTCGCCTTGTGTCAATAGTGTCTAAATAAACATAGAAAGTACATATAACTCGGAAAAAGTCACATTGGTACTGGCCAGATTTTGAACCTACACCTTTATGCATGAGAAGCGGGCTCCTTAATCTCCGGGCCACCACGACTTTGTGCGTCAGATTCTTACTGACCTAAAACCCCTCGTTCCTTTTCCTGCTCTTGGCCGAAGTCGCGGTGCCCAATTGCGCTTATCCCAGTCCCGACTGTTGTGGTCTATTGGCTCTTTAAGGCGCGTGCGGAACGCTACGCGCCTTACGCTCGGGTCCTGGTCGGGCGGCGAGCTACCCTTAATCGCTGACCAAAGACCCGCGACAGCATACAAAATAATTTTGCAAAGTATATGAATAAAATAACCATTGTAAAACAAATCCACTAATTGACTGAAACAAATCATAGTATTGTATTCGTACTATTAACAATATGTAGCAAACTAACAAATAACCGACTTGTAGGTATTCAGCGGGTATTAACATACAAATAATTCTTTGTATTTTAATGTTTTACAAGAGATACATAAGGACATATACGTCATATTAAGTATGACATCACTCTACATAGTATTAGACAATGATGAATAATTTCACTTTGACTTTGACTTTTCAGAGCGTTTCTCGAACGGGTAATTGTATAAATTTGCTCTTCAAACTTCATGGATGCCTTTAAAACTAGGTACTTATCTATACTAATATTATAAAGAAGTAAAATTTGTATGTTTGTAAGTTTGTATGTAGACGGTAATCCTTGGAACCGCTGGTTGGATTTTCAAAATTCTTATAGATAGCTACAATATTCCTGAAAGCTATAGGCTATAAAACATCACGCTACGATCTGTAGGAGCCGAGCAGCGGGTGAAACCGCGCGAGAGAAGCTAGTACTCAATAAAATTTTGAATTCATGGTCAGTGCGGTGGCTGAGCAACTGGCTGCCGCGCGGTTAGGAGTCCCGCACGTAACGATACTGTGTGATCCACAAATTGATGTTTCGGGTCTGGGTATGTGAAAATGTGCTGTAGTAGTAGTCGTAGTCGTAGCCGTAGTAGTATGTCCTGTAGTATATGACCTTTTGGGGATTAGAAATTTGGAGATTCTGGGATTGGCGGAGGTGAAGGATTGGAACTCCGGTATCCTCAATCACACGGCGAAATACAATGTAAATGTTGTTTCACGCCGGTTTTCTGCTTTTAATGTGGCCCTTTTTTTCATTTTCATAATTGCCTGTCCTTGTACTGTGTGCTCCATACTTGTTGTTGTAATTGCTCTGGTGGCCATGCGGGCGTTGATTGCTTACCATCAGGTGATCCGTCTACTCATTGCCCACCTAATGAGTACCTACTACCTACTACATAAAAATAAACTATTCTGATTTCACATTCTTGGCTTGAAAGTCTGAAAAATAATTGCAATAACAACAACAGATAATGATGATATGACTATTTTTGTACCAACGTACTGTCTAACGATTTGGCGACTGTATCGCTACGGTATCACTTGTTACCTTCCTGTGTCTCGTATTTTAAAATAAAGCTGAAATATGAATCATAATATGATAATATAAAGTTGTAATTACAGTGTAGAGTAAAATATAAGAAGCACAGACTACGTAATAGACCAAAAGACACCATACTAAACATGAACTAACTAAACAACAATAGATTTAACATAATATTAACTAGCTTCTAGCCCGCGACTTCGTCCGCAAGCCTTAATAAACTATACACCTAAATCTTCCTCTTTAACTATTATACTATTGAAAACTACATCAAAATTTGTCACGTACTTAGTTTAAAAGATCGGAGCATACACACAGGGATGGACAGCGGGAAGCAATTATCAAAAACAATCGAGTTGTTTTCAGCATTAATTAAATCTTTTCAATCCTTGAAATTTCGAAAAAAAAATATAACATAGATATTAAATACTTATAATACAAAATCAATTCTCTAAATAACTAGCTATCCAGCAAACTTCGTCCCGCCTAGAATATATTTTTCTGTAATTAAGTCATTTTCCCTGACCTTTTAAACCTTCCCTGTATATCCAGCAACATTTCAACAACACAATAAGCCATTTCGGTTCAGCCTTTCTCGAGTTTTATCGAGACTAACGAACAGCAATTAATTTGTATATATAAGAAGATTATAATATGGAAAATCATCTCTAAACACTTCTTTACAACGTCAGCACTGAAACGGAACAAAGATCCCCACAATCTCGATTGATACCATGATTTCTCAACTACTTATAAATAGAATACTATGTCATAGTTTACCCAAAAATTTCAACAATATAATCAAAATCTAATTTTTATATCGTTAGTGTGTATTCACACTATATTTTAACACCGAGCAATCTATAATCATCTTTATCTGATCTTATGAACATGGTTTCAGGCTTTCATTGGTACAGTTAGGTGGAAAACTCCTAAAAGAATACTAGTAAAAGTCTCGTTTGTTTGGGAAAATTGTCGAATGGCTCTTCTCTGGGTAACGTGAAAGGGAGAATCAGTACAGACTCAAAAAAAACTCCTGCTCCAAACCCGGCCGTGGTATTTCAACATAGTATAAAACAAAGTCGCTTTCTCTGTCCCTATATCCCTATGTATGCTTAAATCTTTAAAACAACGCAACGGATTTTGATGCAGTTTTTTTAATAGACAGAGAAGGAAGGTATTATAGCACCTTATAAGTAATTGAGAAATGTAGTATACACATAGGCTACTAAACCAGGGTAAAGACCCCGGTACTGCAAGCGATACCACTAGCAGAAACTATAGTTACAAATAATATAAATAAACTGAATAATTCACTTTTTTTATAAAAATTCTCGACTTGTCTAATGTTGACAGTACCTAACTGCGCAGTTACATTTTGACCTTAACTCCTTTCTCCTTATTGCCTGTAGTTCTTTGTTTAACCTGTTGAACAGTAGAGTGGTTTCGTATGTGGCAATATTTTAATTTAAATAAACTCTATCGGTAGCAAGAAGACTTCTGAAATTTTCACGGCCCATATAATGGGAATGTAACATCATAGCCCATCTAGCATCGCACGGGTGCTGTAATCGTTAGGAAAACACGGAGGACAAGGTGAAGCACACGGTGACAGTGTACCCTGCTTGGGCTGAGCACCGCCTTGTCGTTATGAAAGTGTTCGGCGGCGGCCATCTTTCTGTGAAGAAGTGATGATCGCAAATAGGAGGTGGAGGGCGTTAGGGAACTATCCTTTTTCCAAACATTGGTATTCTACTAAGTTCTGCAGAAAGGAGGTGGTGTAATAATACCAGTCTACCATTTACACGGTAAAATGTTAAACTTTCAGCAATGAAATAAAGTTACTTGTTTCGCAATACATGCAACCACAGCGTTGGTTTACGCCGTGTGAGTGAGGTTATCGGAGGCCATAAATCCTCAAAACCCTAATCCCCAAAAGGTCAAAAGGCACTCGTAACTTCTCCGTTGTTGAGAATATCCATTGGCGGCGCTGATTGCTTACCATCAGGTTTGCTCACATATAAAAAATCATCTCATATCCAAACTTAGAAACAACACACAAATAATTATTTTCCTTATAAATATCTGCATACGTGTTGGTATTTCCCAAACGCATCTCTCATAAGTAAGTTCCCCCAATGATCATAAAGATAAGTTGTTGCTGATAGGCTGATGATGATTGTTATGTTAAAAGTTAGGTTATATTGCCACATAGGAACATACTTGACAATGAAAAAATAATAGTTGGCCACTTTAATAACGGAGACATGTTGGAATTGATGGATTTCGATGCAATTAGCAACATAACTGAGTAAGTTTTTTGTTAGATAAATTAGACAAAACATAAAAAGCAAAACGAATATTCACTGGAAATAGTTACTTATAATGTATTAAAATTCAGCGATCGAAAATTAAAGGACTTTTAATTCTTGAGCAAGGAACAAGGAAAGGCAAGAAATTTTTAATTCGTTTGAATTAAAAATTTCGAAAAAATAACTTGTGTGATATATGGATTACTGCTTCCTTTCGTCTCGTATTGACGTGACTTAAAACATTTCAACATACTTCGAATAATAACATGAATAAACCACACGGCTAAGTGTAATAATAGTTTGAAAAAAATCTATTAGTCGGTGTAAAACTAGAAATACATTACAGTATCGAGGCTTATTGTTTCACGCCTCAGTTTCATATATTTGACCTGCCACGGCAATTTATTTTCGGCTAAAGAGTATACAAAACTTCTTTCACAAGAAGCAGCAAAGACGCTCTCCATTGTCACCGAAAAAAACCAAACTGTCAAACACAACACAACAAATTTGACCTAAACAAAACAACCTAAAAATCTTAGTGTTCGTGTAAGAAAAAACTTTTATCAAAAAGAAATGTTAAAATAATTTCAAAATGGACAAAATTGTTAAGAGTGTTAAATCCTGGCGTCATCCTAGGCCTGCTGAGGAGTTGTCCAGAAGCCAGTATTCGCTGGTGTCCACTGACCTTACCGATGGAGCTGTTCAGTTGTGGTTGGGTCTTCCAGATGAAGTCAAATATGATCCGGCCTTAGAACAGTTCCGGCAACATTACGAAAAGGAGCATGGTGAGTGTTTTTTTTTTAATGTTTTTAGTATTAAGTATCGGATATTGTATGTGTATGTGGAGACTTTTGGTCACTTTCGTTATCATATAGAATTGGTATTGTGGTGTGATGAGTAGACGAACAGTTAACCCATAAACATTCGCAATACCACAGAAGTTACAAGTGCGCTGCTGGTCTTTTGCGCGGATGTTTTTTTTAACGTCGAACGACACTAGGCTCTTTTTTGTGTCTTGAATGACAAACAAACAATTTCACATGCACATCACCCCAGGACAAAGAATGATTCGGTACGGGAATTAAAGCTGCAATAAGTACGGTTGGTGTTTTAAATGTCTCTCAAATTAAATTGCAAGCGTTATTTCACTTTGAAGAAACCCTCAAAATCTCCCTACGTTATTTTTTAATCCCTGAACGTTTTAAAACCCCTGTGTTATTACTGGGTTACCTGGGCAAGCCCAATATGGTACCGCGGCCTCAATTAAAAGCAGGAGAAAGAATGGGGTGGTTTTTAATCAGTAAGAATCTGATACTTACTCCCATTTGAACCCTAGGTCAGAAAAGCTAATAGATAATTTTCCTCTTCCAAAAAGACCCTGTGTTATAAGGACGCAAGAAGTTATCACGTGATTTTCCTTCCACTTTAAAAATACCTTGTGATAATGCGCCAAAATCAATTAGACAATCATGACTAGACTAGACGATAAAATCTATATAAGTATGAAAGAAATCTAAATTGCTTTTGTCACTAGTCCAAAATCTATAATATTTTTAGTGCAAACAGCTGCGCAATTTCTAACATAATATGTTTGTACGTACTTCGGGCATTTTATCAAAATCCTTGTCTATATTTGAATGCCATTTCGTCTTTTGTCTTTCCTATAAAATACTAGCGTAAAATAATGACGGAAAATTACTGATAATGGCAGCGAAAATGATGGTAGCTTCCTACATGATCCGCAACGCAATTCTGATATCTCTGATGATGCGGGTTTACTTTAGCTCGGTATTTCAATGACCAAAGGACGTACGACGGAACGGTATTTACGATTTGTAGTCGGTAATCGAAAAACGGATAGTAGATTTCGGATTGAGTCTCCGGTAACCTGACTCACACGGCGAGACACAACGCTGTGGTTGTTTCACGCCGGTTTTCTGTGAGGCCGTGGTATCACTCCGGTCGTGCCGAAGCATGGCTCTCCCACACCTACTACTACGTTTGATGCGATGTCATGCTTCCCTTCCTTCCTTCTATCTATACGTCTATACCAATATTATAAAGAGGTAAAATTTGTAGGGGGTAGTCTTTGGAACCGCTGATCAGATTCCCAAAATTCTTTCACTGATAGATAGCTACAATGTTCCTGAGTGATATAGGCTATAAAACATCACGCTACGACCAAATGGAGCCGAGCAGCGGGTGAAACCAGGCGAGAGTAGCTAGTCTTCACTACGATCAAGACCTTATTGCAGTGAATTTAAAACGGAATTTGAAGTCGAATCCTTTATCACCAATTGCGACTCCACTGCGAACGAGATATAAGGAAAACATTCCCAAAAATATCTGGTACAGGTAGTTTTTGAACTCAACAGATGACCTTTGAAGCAGGTCATTTGATCTCACGAATTCAAATCCTTGATCAATGTTTTGTTTAGTATTTTTCCACATCCCTAAATCGGTACGTTGATGGCTGATTAGAATACATTTGTTAAAACCTTTACTTTTCCTGTAGATGGTGTCAAAAGTGAGTTTATTTTTTGAAGAGGGAAAATCATCAAATATTTTCTCCAGCAGAGAGCTCGGGTGAGGCATGAGGGAGTTTCAGACTCGTACTGACTAAAAACTACCCCGTTACTCCTCAACCTCCATGCACTGCACATCAGCCTAGTGGTATTTGAGGTAGTCTGTTAGCTCTTGGAGGCGCTAAGCACTTTATCCTCGGAACAGATTAAGGAACTATTCAGTTGACAGAGACCAGGCAGCAGTGCTATCCTGGTACTGGTCTTGAACTGCAGTCCCCAATCAGAGATCGGCAAAAGATTACAAGTCCCCTTATAAATATAGAGAAGGCCAATAATCTTAGGTGTTGTATCATACAAAAATAGCTATGATTTAATAAAAATATATTTACCTTTTCAATTATCAAATTGAGTTCAAAGAAATAAGTACTTTAACTGTATGTAGCAAAGTTTAAGTCAAGGAAAATATTTTAGTATTTGCCTGACAAAACGTATGTCATTACCTTATTTCAAATATGGCGATCCGTGATTAACATAAATAAGTTTCTTTACGGACAGCCTCAAGCGGTGATTGTGAAATCACGTGTGAAATAACGTCACATCTTTCCCTATAAGGACCGTCATGGGTCTACAGAGAACTTACTTACACGATACGTTTCATTTTTTTTTTAATATTTGACACCGCTGACATACCTTGAAGGAAAGGCTCGATGTGTTTTTTTTAGAGGGTGTTAAATCTTGCCCTGATTACTCCCGCCTTGATTAAGGCGAAAGGGAGTGTCAGACTCTTACTGACTTTTTGAGGTGGAACGACAATTTGTAAATGACACAGGGCAATTTATTGGTCACATAGCGTAGAACATCCACTTACAAGGTGATGGTAGGAAAAGATCGTGAGGTCATTAGAGGGACAAATTAACGCAATGACTTTTCCCGCCTTAAATGGGGCAAAAGGGAGTGTCAAACTCTTACTGACTAAAAACCACCCCGTTCCTTCTGCTGCTGCAAGTTAGGGCCGCTGTAACCCTGACTGGAAGAAATGATACTGTCTTAGGAAGTCATGGGATTCAGGATACTTATAATTGGCCTATCTAGATGTCACTGGGGAAGACCTTGATGTGAACAAGTTAAGCAATGGACATGTTTTGTTTAATATGATTATGATGATGATGATGATGAGTGTTTTTAACATGAGAGAATTGTCCATCATCCAAGCAAACCGTCATCCAAAGACTTTACGTCGACGTGTATTCAAATAGGTAATTTGCATACTATTTTAATCAAATAATATTCTCACCTTTTCCAAGAATGAAATCTAAAAAAATTATTCTAAGTCACGTAATTTTTATTAACTGGACCATAACGACATTGAAACAGCAAAAAGATTTAGCCTCCTTGGTCGAGTGGTTGTTAGCGTGACCGTCGATCACAGTGCCTAGATGTTGAATCCTTGATCAGAAAAAAATAACCCTTAATTGCATAGAATCTCTTTGATAATTTTCCCTATTAGTAGGCTTTATCATTTTCTTTACCATAAGTATTTATTCATTTTATTTATATTCATTTTCTTTACCATAGTTTCTTTATCTTTACCATAAGTAAGTAGTTTAGTAGGTATAGCAAAAATGGGTCTAGAAAAAGTTATAAGTCATTTAAAAGTTCTCGAAAATTCTTAGCATACGCTCGGAAATTAGCCAAGGTTGCTGATCGCAGCCCCTGAACAACAAAAAAAGGGGATATTCATTAATCAGTAAGAGTCTGGCACTTTCTCTCGTCTACCCAGGGGGGGAGAAGTCTATAGATGACTTTCCCTACTCAAAATAAGCATGGAGTTTAGTGTTATGTCCGGTTTAAGGCTATAGCTATCTATTTTTTTTTTATTTTTTTTTTTTATGTAATAGGTCGGCAAACGAGCAGACGGATTACCTGATGGTAAGCAATCAGCGCCGCCCATGGACACTCGCAACGGTGGAGTTACGAGTGCGTTGCCGACCTTTCAGGGATTAGGGATTTGGAGATATAGGGATTGAGGAGGGATTGGGGAAGGGGAAGGATTGGGCCTCCGGTAACCTCACTCACACGGCGGAACACAACGCAGTGGTTATTTCACGCCGGTTTTCTGTGAGGCCGTGGTATCACTCCGGTCGAGCCGACCCATTCGTGCCGAAAGTGTGGGAGACACTTAAAACTGTCTATTATATTAGGACGACTTTTAACCTAACACGGGAAATTGATTCTGTAATTTAATATACCTATTCTTTCTATCTATCCCAAATACAGTAAAATCGCTTCAATAACCGATAAGTTGTTAAAACTCTTTTCAAACGCACATTTGTCAGCTTTCCAAGCGAGCTAAGCTATATTTAAACCGGTTCGATCCAGTTCGCACCGGTGTCTAAGTACTAGGTATTGCTGTCTCGCTATGTCTGTGAATGTACAACCATTTCGCACGCGATTATACGCTTTATGTGAGCAAAATTAATTCTGTATAGCGTGTTCCTATAGTTGTTCTTACTAAGAATTTATTGTTTTAAAGGTGATGTTTTAACGTAATTTGAGCAGCTTTGAAGTATGATAGCGTAATGTTTGATAGCCTAAAATCTCCCTTAAATATAGGACAATAACGTGCAAAAAGAATTTTCCTAATACAAACACAAGTTTAAAAGATAACGTCAACAAACAAAAAGCTATACAATTTAATTCCAAAATAAACATGCTGTGTATAAACTGGTTCGCACCGGTTCGCGCCGGTTACTTCGTTACTTTTAAGGTGTAGCATTGTTTGTACTGATTGCCCGATAATGCGGCCTTGAAACACAGACAAACATAATAAAAAACAAATGTTAAACAATTAGATCATTATTTTCCGTTTAGTAGCCAGCAAACAAAACGAGATTCGCTATAAAAACCTTTTAAAAATAACATGTTTTTTGTCTGTTTACTAAGACATTACGAGCCGAAGAAAACTTTTCTCTCTTCTTTAAAAATTCTGTAATAGTCCACAGCTGGACAAATATCCGCTTCATTAGAAAGAATTTCCATAACTTCTAGGGAAGCCTTCTAAGAGGGTTGGAGAAGTAGTTGCTGCCAGGTCTCTGTCAGTATATTTTCTTGGTCGCTTCTTACGACACCCTACAGGTGGTAATAAATTTAGAAACAGTATAATCTTCCGTCACTATACTGCTAAAATATTTAGCTAGATTTAAACACGACAGATTTGGCTAAGCTATATTTAACCGGTGTGAACCAGATTGGACCGGCGCGCTCGCTTCTGATATGAAGGTGAACGCACTGTTTAGTACAAGAATCCAAAATTATGCTATGTTGAATTTTTTTTTTGTGCATTTGAAATTACCTTGTCTGTCAATTCCTGATAACGTCAAAGTGGAAAAGGATTAAATCAATTGTAATAGATTTACTGGTAATCCAAATCACTCTGTCGTAATTGAACTCAGTTACCCAGGAGCAGGAGAAGTCACTGGATGATTTTCCCTATCAACTAAGAATTATTTACAATATTAACTACGCATTGACCTCTGCTGACTCCCAAGGCTATAAAAGGCGTGATGTTCAATTTGCAAGGCTAAGCACTACCCACATATTCAAACCTGCATCTGTTTATCATTGCAACAAAAACTGCAAAATTTACCTCAGTATCGACACAAGGAATTGTAAACCTTATCCCGTTGAGATAGATAATAAAATCTGAGTGTGAAACCGGTTAGAACCGGTGTCAACTGGTTATCTAACTATACATTGTTTTCCAGCCTTGCTCGCGTGTGAATTGACGATGCAAATGGAATAAATATGCATGTTTTAAGAGGTTAAGAGCTAGGATCTGTCTCTTTTGTTTCATGGTCTTGAGGAGATCTACAGAACTTAAGTGATGGGGATTAATTAGCCGGGGCTATGGGACCCACGGTCTCTAGCCAGTAGTCAGTAGTCAGTATGAGTCTGCCACTCCCTCTCCGTCTAAGGCAAAGGCATGGGACAATTTTCTAAGCACAAAAAAAGTCTGTAGGGATTAATGCTTCAGTTATGCAAAGATTTATTGGGTATTCGGTATTCCTCACTGTTATCAGCCGCAAGACCGAGAAGTTACAAACGCATTGTTGGACTATTAGAGGTTAAGTATTTTAGAATTGCTGATGGATCCTCCAAGGCCCACAATTACACCCCGAAATATCAATTCTAGCATTTCTTCACGCCGGTTTTCTGAGAGGCCGTGGTATTACTTCGGTCGAGCCGGCCCATGCGTGTATTCACTGTCTTCTCTCAATCTTTAAGTGATTTGTTTTTTTTTACCTCCTTTACTTTATCGCATATTACAATGTGCATATTTTGTATTTGCGATCCGCTTCACTCACTTTTACTTACCTGAACTAAGATGGAAACCGGTTTCGACCGGTGCGATCCAGTTCGAACTGGTTCTTGAAATGTCATAGGTACTTTAGCGTCGTCTCTTGGCCTACCTTTGCCTGTTTTTAATTTGAACCCTTATGCTGGAAGCTTTAAGGTTGATTTTTGATATTGATAGTCCAGTGGCTGTAACAGCAACAGTTATGGTCATGTCCAAAGTTTGATTTTGGACTAGGTATTTTTGATATTTTTTTTTGTAATTTTCCGAATTACAGCTTTAAAAGAAACATGAAAATAGTATCCCATTTAAAGTAAGTACTAATTGACAAAAACAACTATAAATTGATCAATTTTGTAAAACAACGCTAGTTAACTACTTATTTCAAAATGACAAAATAATTTCCCTACCGACTGTAATCAATGTTAATGATTATCATTATGTAATAAGTGAAAACTGTGCTGTATTGTAGCTGGTTTCCATATTGGTTTACACATGGGGTTCTGTAGGTAAAAGCGTCGACAAAAGCCATTAATGATGATCTTTCGGCAGCGATATTTCTGAACTGATACGACTTTCTAACCTTCAAGAATTTGATGCGTGCGTACTCCTTTTTAAAATGGCGGCAACGCGTCAGTGACTGCTCTGATGTTGCAGGTGTTGAGGATCACTTACCATGAGGTGAAAAAAGGTTAAAAAATAATTAAGTCAAAAATGGGAGAAACAAATATAAGTAACTAGCTATTCTCGCGCGGTTTTACCCGCTGCTTGGCTCCATTTAATCTTAGCGTGATGTTTTATAGCCTATAGTACTCAGGAACATTTTAGCTATCTATCAGTAATAGAATTTTGTCAATCCGACCAGCGGTTCCAAAGATTACCCCCTACATACAAACTTACAAACATACAAATTACCTCTTTATAATATAAGTATAGATGGAAGAAATCATTTTTAAAGTATGTTTACACAATTTCGTTTGGACACGTATTTGTTTTGGTTTTATTTCCGACCTAAAAATGCGATCTCCTACCAACCTCCCTGGTGCATGTGTGAATTCGTGCGTTTATTTTCAACCACAAATGCAGGAAATGTGTGAATGTCGACTGGAGCCCAAACTAGAAAAACCCTGTATTTCAGGACACCAGGTTATAAGGCGATCATTTTAACCCAGCCTGTATCTAATTGCTTCCCCAAATAGTCCTGATAAACCGACGTTCGTACCTCTTAGAGGATGCCCTCAGATATGCGATCAAATCTATATCGTTCGTCCAAATAAGTGGATTTTCGCGTGCGGAACCACTTATAAAAAAGCGAGCAAAATGAATCAGTACAGATCATTTGACTGTCATTATGAGTAATAATGATTTATAATCATAATTTGTTTACGTTTCCGTGTCATTACATATTGTTTATCTATATCTATACCTACTAATATTATAAAGAGGTAAAATTTGTAAGTTTGTATATAGGGGGTGATCTTTGGAACCACTGGTCGGAATCCCAAAATTCTTTCACTTATTTATAGTTACAATGTTCCCGCGTGCTATAGGCTGTAAAACATCACGCTACGATTAAATGGAGCCGAGCAGCGGGCGAAACCGCGTGAGAGTAGCTAGTATTTAATAAATAGAGTGATTGGAGAGGTATGTTTGTATGTATAATAAAAACCATTAAATAGTGGATTAATTTTGTATTAGTATTGCACGGGCTATGCCGGGGCAGGTCGCTAGTGAATAAATCGTGTCGAATATCCGAATCATAGTACGCACGCAGTCCGATTAACGCCATCTGGTCAGCAATTTGAGTTTCTGCGAAAACTTAGCTATGGTCATTTCACGGTTTTTGTCTAATTCTGAACGATTTCCTGTTCAGGTATTTATTTTTAGACTTCTCGCCTTTCAAATATCTAAGACTAGATGAGAGAATAGGTACTCGTGAATGCAAATAATTTTATTTATGTTTGTTTAAAATCCTTTTTCTGACTTTATATTGTGTTTAGAAATTCCAGGTACATAATAAGTACCTGTTCTTTTTTGTGAGGGAAAAATATAAGATTATTTCTATCACCCAGGGTGGGGCAAACCACCAGGAAGAGGGAAGTGTCGGACACTCGGTGACTAAATCCCTCTCCCTCGGTCTTCCCCTGCTCTAGGCGGAAGCTGCGGTACCTTGCGCTTGCCCCGCAACCCCGGCTATAGGTATCTAATCTACCAATACCAATGCCAGTCTTTTGTGGATTATCTTTTGGTCTTGTTAGGGATTGGAGAAGAATTAGACCTCCAGTAACTTCACTTACACGGCGAAACGCAATGTAAGTATTTTTCAATGGCGGAATTGTGTGGCCGTGGTATCAATCCGCTCGAGCGCGTTCATGACGAAGCATGGCTCTCCCACTACTGAAAGTCTGACTGTCTATAAAAAAAATGTTGGTATTGATAAAGTGCAACTGGACGATTGACCCCTGACTTCTTTTGTGGACGAAAACTAGATTATGATAATGATGATGATTTTTTTTTATGTAATAGGTCGGCAAACGAGCAGATGGATTACCTGATGGTAAGCAATCAGCGCCGCCCATAGACACCCGCAACGGAGGAGTTACGAGTGCGTTGCCGACCTTTTAGGGATAAGGGATTAGGGATTGAGGAGGGATTGGGGGAGGGGAAGGATTGGGCCTCCGGTAACCTCACTCACACGGCGAAACACAACGCTGTGGTTGTTTCACGCCGGTTTTCTGTGAGGCCGTGGTATCACTCCGGTCGAGCCGACCCATTCGTGCCGAAGCATGGCTCTCCCACACTTAAAATATGATGATGATGAAAGGGCAATTTTAACTGACTTCTATTTAGCCCTTTGGAGAAAACTGGCGACATTACGTAATAACATTTCAGTCCAACATTAATTTTCAAACATCTCAGGAAAAACAGTTGAGCAGATTAGTTAGACAACCACGTCAAACAATATTGAACCTTATTAACAGTTACAAATAGAACTCAGTTTTCCTTAATAAGTTTTATACATAATTATGTCGTAATTTATGTACCGTGATGCACTGCATAGTTAGAGGGGTCGTTGACCTCGGGGTCAAGGACCTTTGACTTGTTTATGTAATCTTATATTTACAAAACAAACTCGTATTTAGTTTATAAGTTTGTAACTCGGAAACGGCTGGACGGGTTTTCGAGAGATTTGATTATATTTATGATTTTGCTGCTGCAATTTGTGGACGCCTTATACTCTTCATGCATGAGGGTGTTCGAAACCTGGCAAGTTCCTATTACGTCATTTTTCGAGTTATATGTATTTTCTATATGATTATTTAGTCATTACTGAAGCCTAGATTTCATAAGTATGAGTTGAAAATCTTCAAAGCAACCGCTGATGAATGCTCATGCTCTCTCACTGACGACTGTTGGTGATGACGATGCCGTCTCTGCATCACCTTCCACCAGACTTCCACCTTGACTGTTTGAAAATGCTTTTTTGGGGAGGTAAATCTTTCTATGACTTCTCCAGCCCTGGGAGGGATGAGAAGAAGTGTCAAACATTTACTGACAGAAAGCCATCCCGGTCTTCTCCAGCTCCAAAAGAAAATGTCGAAGACTATTAAGTCATAGAGTGATAATAAATAAATAAACTATAATGATGATAATAACGCAATAATTGTTTTCGCAGGTAGCAATGGGGTGCCTCGTAAAACCAAAAATGGCTCCACGAAACGGCTTCCCCTGGTCAACTCAGCGCCCCATCTCAATAACAACCTACAAATACCAAGGGAAGAGGTCATGTTCATCAACAGCAATAATAATAAGTGTCCTTCTATTGATGAGAAGAAGGAAAAAATGTGAGTATAGTCTTGTAAAGCTATTGTCTATTTTAGCGATCCACAGGTCAGCAAACGAGCAGACTGATTACATTATGGTAAGCAATCAACGCCACTCATGGACACTAATAATACCAGAAGTATTACTAGTGCGTTGCCGACCTTTAGAGGGTTTTAATGTATTTAAGGAAAGGGGTTTCCTTTATAGAGAACTGGCGACAAGTTTTAATAAATGTAAAAGTAACAAAATCACGCTACATGACCTAATAGGAGATAAAAAATAGTAGTTCACTACATCGTAGTGCAGAAGTACAACTGTAGAACAGTAACCCGCCAGACATGAATATCTTACTGGCTCGAAGGATCTTTCCAAAATTAGGGAACAATACACCATAAAATGTGATACACGTATGTCCTGAGAAGTGGAGAATAAGTGTAGAAAAAATGGTTAGGATAGAGCAGTAGCACGAAAGAGTCTGAATAAAAGGATGAAAGGTCTAGTTCAGGCAGCTTGGCTTATGGCCAAGAGCAAGAAGATCGTGATCCATTGTTTCATGGGTACACTTACAACACAACAAGGTCATATCAACAAATAGTGGATCAACTTGATAAAATATTTTAGAAAAATATCAGAAATTGATTAAATTTTATAGTCAGCTAATTTTCTTTCTTTTTCGTCCACAGACTTGAAGAAGTTCCTGAGCCAAAGAAACCTTCGAAGGTAAGATTCTCTCTTTCATTTTTCCTACAATAAACAATATTCTTTTAATTTTCATTGACACTTATTGCATTTAAATGGTTAAGTAATTTTTTTTGTCAAGTCATAGATAGATTAATTTTATTTTTTTAAGAAGTTAAATTTTAATATTAGTCTTTGATCATTTTGTATTGTTATACTTATATCGTACATGATGTATGTAACTTTTCGCAGATTTTTCTGGTTGACTGGTAAAGAATGGTATTAAGTCCGCATTATCAACTTCATATAATTTTGTGTACAATAAATATAAATATTTAATACTTTGTCACCAGGCCGCTCAAGCTGGACACTTGGTGAAGATGACGTTACTGGTAGCCTGCTGGATGTTCTTTACTATCGCCTTCTTGATGTACAACGAGAAGGAAGAAGTTACCAGGCACTCTTCTGTAGCGCCTGGAGAAATTAAGAGTATGTATTTTGTTTTTTTGGCATATATTTGCAAACGAGTTGACGGTTCACCTGATGGAAAGCAATGTTACAAGAGTGTTGATGGTATTTTGAGGATAAAGGATAATCCTTAGGCCAGTTGAAGGTACCGTGGTCTCAGCCTGGAGCAGGACAAGGTTCGGGGTGATTTTTAGTCCGTAATATAGTTTGACACGCGTCGCTTCACTCTGTGCGAAAAAATCATTTGATAACTTTCCCGCCTCTAACAAAAGGTGATGGATCAACCCCATTTCTACGTCACTAGTCACTATGCCATATTTTAAGGTAAAAAGTATTTAACAAATAATAATTTTCAGTAAACCAAGCCCTAATTGTGGCTACGAAAGAGTCTCGCGGATTCGGCTTTAAAGAAAACTCTATTCTTCCAGTTTTTAAAAAACAAGATGATTATGATCTTTTAGGCGATTATGTTTGCATATATAAATAGCTAACCGGTTTGCCCTCGTTTTTGAAAAGATTAGCGCGGACAAACAACTAACTTACCAGCGTAATAATATTAGCTTAGATAATCTTCTAAAATGATTCATTAGAAAACTTAACACCATTATTAGCTGAAAGATGGTGGTTTCGCTTTTTAAATTGTATGGTCACTCAAGCAAACTACAACTAATGCTATTATTTTTAATATGTTTTAGCGTAAATTCATTTAAAACATTTGTAGAGTTTTTATTTTCAATATTTGAAATATAACTATTGTATTTTTCTTTCGATATAGTGAAGGGCTACGTTTTTAGGATCGATCGATTAAATAAAGTACAATTATAATAATATAATTCTAAATTAAAATTACCAATTTAAATACCTACGTAGAGTTTCAAAACGATAATTAGTGCAATAAGGTAACGCGGCCTCCGCCTAAAACACGAGAAGGAACGAGATGGGTTTTAGTCAGTAAGAGTCTGACACACCCTCTCGCCTCACCCTGGCTGGGCTAGAAAAGGCATTTGATAATTTACCCTCCACAAAAAAGCGTACATTATGGCAAACCCTCTAACATTATACTATCAGGTTCAAATAAAGAATTCCTATGAAGTATTTTGAAAAATAAAATTAATGGTGTATTCTTCTGTTTCCCAGGTTATCCCCTACATTCGACAAAAGATATTCTATCAGTATATCTAAAGCTTACTGGCCCATTTTTGTCTGAACAAAGTGAGAAGAGACTAAACTCCAGTGAAATGATGACCACGGGTAAATTGGACGTTTGGGTGGAGAGCGTTCCAACTCCTCTAAATAACGACGTTAATCGGGTGAGTAAAATCTCATTTCCTTCTTTTAAAAAAAAAACTTTTCCACATACTAAGATGTTTCGTGGGTGCTTCTACAAACACATAATTTCACGGGCACTTTAGACGGGTCTGGACCCGGGACAACAATTTGTAGATCACATACAGAACTGCCCCGTGAGTGAATCAAACCATCGAGACGTTGCACAGTTGCCAGTCGCGACGGATAACCTGATGGTAAGCAATCATCACCGCCCATGGGCATCCGCAATAACGGAGGATTTACTAGTGCGTTGCCGACGTTTTTTGGATTAGGGATTTGGAGATTTTAGGATTGATGTAGGCGAAGGATCGGGCCTCCATTACTCAAAAGGCGAAACACAATGTTGTGGTTGGTTCCCGCCGGTTTTCCGTGAGGCCGTGGTTTTACTCCGGTTGACCCGACCCTTTCGTGCCAAAGCATATCCCTCCCACACTTAAAATGATAAACAATTAGCGTAGCACGCAGGACTCCTGCAGCACCAGAGGAATTACGATTGCTAGAGTTTTAGAAGGCAGAAGGAGAGGATATGGTCACCTGTACCCCCATTCATACGACACCACAACGCAATCGTTAATCAGAAAAACAAAATTGTCATTCCATTTTTTCTTCTTCAGTCACCTCGCTGGTCAATAATTTTGGACCCAGAAGATGAAATTGATTTCACGGAAGGTGAAACAAGGACAACGGTTCTCAAAATGGACACAAGCTCAGGAGACAACGCGACTCATTTCTTGAAAATGAGAACCAATGTTCAAACGACGACCCCCTTCGCCCTCAGTTACACCATGGACCCCCTGGATATCTCTACTGGGGTCATTTATGCGTGTATGCTGTTGGGAGCCCTGTATGTGCTCATCATTTTTGAGGTAAGTCTCTGACCAACTTTTTTTTGTTTTGTAGCTTCAAAATTTCAAAAAAATATTAATTAAGTACTTAAAAATTATCACACTAATTGACTGAATTATGTCGCGGAAAGCGGGAGTTTAAGGCGGCCGATTCTCGATCCGCACTGGGTTCGAAACCTGGCAAATACCAAGTTTTTTTCTAAGTTATATCTTTCTATGATTATTTATCACCACCGAAATGTTGGTGAAGGAAAACATGGTGAGGAAACCTGGACTAATTATGAGTTTGAAATCTGGTTTGAGCAAACGTGGTGATTAATGCTTAATCTTTCTCCGTGTGAAAAGGGGCCTTAGCTCCGCAGTGGGTTTTTATTTATTTACCTTACTTACTTTACCTTCAATGTTTCAGATCATAAACAGGACAATGGCAGCAGTTCTGATCTCCACTACAGCATTAGCAGTATTATCCATAGCTGGCGAGAGACCAACACTACCTGAGCTGATCTCCTGGCTGGATGTGGAGACGCTACTCCTACTCTTCAGTATGATGCTGCTGGTGTCTATTATGGCTGAAACTGGACTGTTCGACTTTTTGGCAGTTTTCACTTTTGAGGTATGTAGGAAGGAGATTTTTATGACCTATAATCGTCTGCTGCCAAAGCATGTCGCCGAGGCGAAGGAAACTCATTTTAGTCCTGCTTTTTTTTCTAGTATTTATCTTACTCATGACACGACAACCAACCCAGATGAATCGCGAAGTTTAAACAAATGTATAACTAAAATGTCTTCAAGAATAACGACATCCCTGGTTTTGCAGAAGTGAAAATCAAATTAATAAGATTTTTAAAAAAGTTTTCCAAAAAACAGGTGGCATATGCTCATACCTTCATAAGTTTCTCTCACTCTAAGTTTCTCTCATGCATTTCAATCAAATTTCCTGGGGAAGTAGGTTTAGGGGAAGATGCTATAGGCCTAGAAGACGATGACGTGTTTCAAAAACCAAATCAAAGACTCAGTTATGGAAATTACGACATAGCTTTTAGATCTCGCGTTTTCTAAACTAACGAGTTATAAAGATAGTGCAGAGATTGCCCTGATCTTAACATTTATCAGCTCCAACTATCTCTAGAAGTACTTAGATAAGACCCAGGCGTTATCTCAACATGCGAAGATATTATGAATTTATCTGAGTAAATAGTATCAAGTAGTGTTCGTTTTATACCGTTTATTGTACAACTGGAGTGCTTAGACCGATTTTCATCATTTTCCCAATATTGTTGGAGCTACTGGCTCTTCTGCGACTTGTATCCTGCTACCAGGCGAAAATGTTTGGTTTTTCCCTCGCAAAAGTCTATTTTAAAAAGATTGCGTCTATTTTTTTGATCCCTTCTTCCACTTTCTTAAAATCTCTGGAAGGCTATTTACTTCGGGTCTTTCATCTATTCGGTGCTGTAAACTAAATTTTTCTTCGATTCTCACCAGTCCCGGAAGGCGGCATAGTTTTTTTCGGGCTAAGGAAAATCATTAAATCGCTTCTCTCGGGAGTATCAGGTTCTACCTGACTAAAAACTAACCAGTTTCTTCTTCTGCTCCAGACCAACGCCACGGTACCTTATTGCGCTTGCCCCACCCAAGTCTACCAGAGGAATTTGAGTATATAGTATATCATCATTTCGATAAATTATCTGCTACAAAACTAACCGAGTACTTGTCTTATATGAGGGACGTGTAATACAGTCATTAACACGTCAAATGCCATGAGATATATTACCATTCAAACGTTTTACATAAAACGGAAAATTTACCAATCATTAGTCATATTAGTGAGTACCCATTGAAACCCCGAAGTGCAACAATGGACATATTGAATACAACATCTTTTCAATAAGTCCTTTATGTTATACATTATGTGTTTAGCAATAAATAACAAGTGCCTATATATTGTATTGTATGAAGATAAGAATGCAATCAGTCGTCAATGAATGCTGGCTTTATCTACTGTGTAGTTCAATCACGTGTAAGAAAACGTCTCTGTACTCCATTAGTTTGTTAGTAACGTCATAATGTATCTATCTAGCTACTTCAGTCTAACCCACTGCTCGGCTCTTGTTGGTCTTCGCAAGATGTTTTGTTACCTGTATATTCTTCCTCGCCAAGTAGACTATCCAACTCAAAGAAAAATCCTTCACCCATACTGAAGCCCTGATCCCTAAAAGGCCAGACCTGCTCTGGTGTTGCGAGTGTCGTAACACTATTGTTCAATTGAATCCACCATTTCCAGAGATTAAAGCGTACAAACAAATAAATGACTTAGCTTAAAATGTATGTAATGATGTAGCTCTAGAATTTACCGTGATAGGTAATCTTGGAAATACTCTCTGCTAGGATCTACACAAGATACAACCATTAAGACACCGGAACATTAAAGTCCCGTGTGTGCTATGGACATAAACAACTGTCTTGGATATCGCAATGAAATAAATCAGAACATTGTAGGACAAAGAAAGATCTTCAATAACGCAAAGCCCATTGTAACAAACCACCATTGTAGACTATAGAGACGTTGGCCAGCTCGCTGGTAGAGTGTTTGCAATAAAAACCACCCCATTCCTTCTCCTGCTTAGGGCCGAGGCCGCGGAATATTATTGCGCTTGCCGCAACCCTGACAAAAAATCTTCACCTCCACAAGCATCTTCGGGGTTTAAAATATGTGATGTGATGATGTCATTACAACACAGACGTAAAGCCAACTCACCAGCCATTGTGGAGCAAAGCAAATATTTTATATACGCTTTATCTTATTCTGCCGCACGTGTGATTCATTAATATTCCCGTCTTATGATAATATAATTAATACTAGATATAATAGGTCTGAGTGACGGATACAATGTTGTACATATTTATTGTTTAGCTATCTAACTAGGGCGGTGTACGTCCGTCTGATGCGATTCTAGCTTTAGATTGATTTTATGTAATGTTCAGAAGTGTGGAAACCGTAATATATGCTTCCGCACGAATAGGCCAGCTGGATCTACGGCTTCACGGAAAACCTGCGTAAAACAACGCTTACATCGTTTTATCTAATAGATCTGAGCACGCTTAAATGTGATCTTAAACATACCTTTTTTGAGAGAGGAAAATCATCAAATTACCTCTCTCGCCCATGGCTGGAGAGGTAATGTCAGACTCTTTTTTCATGGATAAGGAGGCAATCGATCATACAGATTACCTGATGGTTCTTAAACTGCGCCGCCCATTGACACCAGTGGTACTAAAGGAGTGTAAGGCGTGCTGCCAGACTTTTAAAGAGGGAGTTCGTTCTGTTAAGTTTGAAGGTTGTATTAGTTCGGGAATATCGCCGCCGAAAGATTTTTTTTATTTTATGTAATAAACGGTCGGCAAACCTTTTAGGGATAAGGGATTAGGGATTTGGAGATTCAGGGATTGAGGAGGGATTGGGGGAGGGGAAGGATTGGGCCTCCGGTAACCTCACTCACACGGCGAAACACAACGCTGTGGTTGTTTCACGCCGGTTTTCTGTGAGGCCGTGGTATCACTCCGGTCGAGCCGACCCATTCGTGCTGAAGCATGGCTCTCCCACACTTAAGCATGGCTCTCCCACACTTTAAACAATTATTTCCCACAATTATTCCAAAGATTTGCTGTGCCGGGCAGAAAGTTTTGCGTAAATCGTACAGTTGTTACGGACTAAAAACTAGTTCCGTTCCTTCTCCTGATCCAGGATAAGGCTGCTGTACATTATTACACAACCCCAACATTAACGTACCTTTTTTGTGGAGGGAAATCATCACATGACTTCTCTTGCCCAGGTAATGACGAGAGGGGGTATCAGAATCTCACCTCAACTTACCTGGTAAAGACATTATGTAGAAAAGGCTAACACTCCAGCTGTGGACTGTCCCGAGTTGTTGATGCTGATAAGAGATTAGATAATAGGACAGCATTACGACGCCATAATAAAAAGTTTTTTATTGCATAACATTGTTTTATTACAAGTTTTTTTAGTTAATTTTAGTGTCGTGGTGGCCCGGAGGTTAAGGAGCCCGCTTCTCATGCATGAGGGTGTGGGTTCGAAACCTGGCAAGTACCAATGTGACTTTTTCCGAGTTATATGTACTTTCTTTCTATGATTATTTAGACACCACTGACATACGGTGAAGGAAAACATCGTGAGGAAACCTGGACTTATAATTTCTAATTATAAGTTTGAAATCGCCAACCCGCATTGAGCAAGCGTGGTGATTAATGCTCTAACCTTCTCCGCATGAGAAGAGGCCTTTGCTCAGCAGTGGGCATTTATAGGCTGATGATGATGATGATGATTACAAGGTTTTCACTAACGTTTCAATCGTGGTAATTCGAGCCAAAATAAATATAAGAATAATAGGTGAGCGACCCAAACTCCTTAGCTTAGGGTTTGATGAATTAACTTGTTACATTTCTCTGTTGGTTTGGCTGCGAAATAGAATCTTGGAACTGAAATTTGTAGCAGATATCTTTAACCGATTGTGCGTCGTATTTGTATTTATTTGTATTATTTTTTATGCCACTATTATGCTAAGAAGCTGTACCTATGACTTTATTCTAAACCAATAAAAATGATTCTAAAGTGTTCAGTATTTGATTGCCAATTTTGAATATAGCTTGGTTTGCGAAAAGAAAATTGTGTATTTTTTATGGGAAAGGTCAGCACACGACAAGTTAGCACCAGATGATAAGAAATCGACATCGTCTATCGTGTTGCCAGCCTTTTGTGAGCTATTGTGGGTTTAAGGATAGCAGATTTGGGTACTGGAGATGAGGAGCCGAATATTTAAGCGAACATCTGACTCTATTTCGATGATATAGATCTTGCTATGTAAAACATTGCCTAAATATTACACGTTTTCCTGTTTACAGGTAACGAAAGGCAAGATTTGGCCGTTAATAACTCTGTTGAGTGCCATCACGGCTATCATATCGACAGTTTTGGACAACGTGACAACAGTACTGCTTATGACACCAGTTACAATAAGGTTGGTAGTTCTTACAAAAATAATAACATGCTTAAAGTTGAAAAGTGATCTGTTTATCTACAGCCCATCCTACTAGCTCTCTGAGTAGTTGGTAGCTTTTTTTGTCATATGTCGACAAACAAGCAGACGTATTACAAGAGAAGTCATTTGATGATTTTCCACTGACAAATGTAAAAAAAAGGATAAGGATTACGTGATGGTAAAGCAATCAGCGCTGCCCATGGACACTCATACATACACATACACTCATACCAATTGAGTAAGCACAAGTGCGTTGCTGGCCTCTTGTGGTTTATCCCTAAATCTCCTGTGGTTTAAACCAAGCCTACCCTACAAACCCTACCCACCCTACGCTACCTATCCTAGACACCCTACCCTACCTACTCAAGCCTATGTCCTTCTCCGAGTTCTTAGCTACCACTCTACTGTAGTGTAACTAACACGACTTTCTTTTATGTACCTATATAGATTTAGGACTTAAGGATCGAGGACAATTTTTATGGCAATATTTAAACTTTATTTCTAAAACTTTTCAGATTATGTGAAGTAATGGATCTGGACCCCATACCAGTATTGATGTCAATGGTGATATTCAGTAATATTGGTGGCACTGTCACCCCAGTCGGTGACCCCCCAAATGTCATCATCGCATCCAACAAAGCTGTTGTCCAATCTGTGAGTAATTTTTATTTGTTTTTATAATAACTATCATGAGACATACTAAATTAACTAAAAATCGCGGGTTACTGACGTCTATATTGAGAAAAGCTTTACTAATTTCGAACCACAGAGGGGTTCTGCGCAGCCTACTGGCACAGTAACACGCGACGTGAGTAACCCGCGATTTTTAGTTAATTTAATTTTTCTTTTATAAAAATCTGAAATTGAAATTGAAATTGAATCTACAACGCGTTGCAGGGTAGCCGGTTTCCTAGCCACTGCTACACCATGCTGTCAAAAATTTGCTTAATCTTTTATAACTCTCTATGTGTGAAGTGTAATTTTATCTACTGTAGCTCCTGGTTTACAGGAGTTGCAGCGGTTTTGGGAGATTGCGGCGGGTTTGTCCCATTAAAAAAATACAGTAGCTAAGAATTTCAGGAATTAAATACCATATTGAAACTTAATCTGTACCAAGGATCGATACTTATGCTTTGAAGAATTTGGATAACCAAAAGACTTGCAATGGTTTTTGATATTTTTTGGTATTAACTAATGTAATTTATGTTGACAAATTGTGTGGAGGACTAGGTTCCTTTGTTCGACAGTGAACCTCGCCCGGCTTGCATGATTATAATGATTTTGTACCGATGTTTATAATATTTCCTCTCATCATCAGGGTATTAACTTCACCAACTTCACGCTGCACATGACCTTTGGTATCCTGCTGGTCTGCGTGCAGACATACTTCCAATTCAGGTTCATCTATAGAGACACTGATAAGCTGAGGTTGAATGAGCCACGGGATATACAAGGTATGTTTGATTTATTTAGATGTCTTTTACAAAAATATCGCCTGGTGTATTGCTTAGGTCAAATCTTCTACCTAATCAATAGATTTTGCTATTTTTTTTCTGTTGTGTTTGTTATTGTCAAGAGTCTCATTTAGAGAACTAAGCAACCATTTCTTTACTGTGGCGGTTCGCTTCCCAAAATAAATGACTGTGACAAGGCAGTTGGTTCCCCATCAGCAGTGATGGACTATTAATTTATTATACTTTATTGCATGCTGTAAGCTGAATAGAATACATAGTGGCAGAGAAAACTTTTAATTTTGTAAAAGGGCTTCAATTTATTTACACAATTTAATTTTTGGTTTACCATCAGCCCAACCCAGTCTTTTCATTCCGTTATCGGATACCGTCTGCTCATTTGCCACCGTTTACCATACGCTATCAATAAAGATGATCTTAATCCAAAAACCGAGGGATCGACCACAGTTTTTGTCAGATACTCCATATTTACCTCAGAATTCGAAATTCTCAGAAAGAGTCTGGATTAAAATCGGTTTTTTATTTATTACAGATCTCCGCCATCAGATTTCAATTTGGAGGCGAGCAGCCGATTCCCTTCCTCATCTAAGCAGAGATGAGCTGGTGGTTAGAGAACGGCTGGACCGCAAGGTCCGAAAGCTGACAGTCAAGCTGGATGCTTTGGTCAAAGAGACAAGGATCAGAGCCTGTCCGAAGGAGTGCTTCGAGACTATGCTGGCTGATATGAAGGATAAGGTAAGGACTTTAGTCCAGTGATAGGCATAGTAAGGCAGAGAGTAAAGGAACAATCAATCCTTACTCACTAATCCCCATCCCTCCCCAATCCCTGAATCTCCGGAACCCTAATCCCAAAAAGGTCGGCAACGCACTCGTAACTCGTAACGTTCGAGTTTTCTTACAATTTAATTGCTTTAGTATATCCTGCCTGGCTTTAAGCTATTCAGAATATCATTTGATATTTAAAACCTTTTACTGTCTGTTCTACTGATTTTGAGTTGTAGGAATGACAAAATGGCGGCTGCACTATAAATAGTTTGATTGCTTTTAAAAGCAAAAAGCTTATAATGCAGAGCGCGGGTTCAAAACCTGGCAAAGTACCGATGTGACTTTTTCCGAGTAATATGTACTTTCTATGATATAATCATATCATATCTATCATCTATCTATCATGATACATACCATATCTCACGATGTTTTCCTTGATACGGTGACGGACAAACATCGTGAGGAAACCTGGACTTAATAAATTTCCGCCTCGAGCACGCGTTGAGATTAATGCCCCAAACTTATCCATGTGAGAAGAGGTCTTTGCTCAGTTGTGAGCACTTATAGGCTGATAATGTGTGATGATGTGATGTGATTATCTAGTAGCTAGTTGAAATTTAAACCCTATTCTCTTTATGTTACAGTACAAGATCCGAGACAAAGTGTTACTGATTAAGTGTTCAGTGACCATTGCATTCGTGGTCACCGTATTCTTCCTACACTCGCTGCCTGAATTCAGTAAGTAGAACTTGTTGAGTAAAGAAAATTGGAACCACTGTTAAAGTTTAGACCTGTGTTAAAAGACTCAGTGTGTTTTGAAACGAATCTAGCAGTTTTACATTTAATATGATGTATTCATATCGCTGCGTTAAAGCCAGAAAAAAAAATGCTATTGTAAACCAAACTTGTTGATATGGCTGAATTCCTAGTGCGAATTTGCCTTATAATAAGGTGATCATCAAGGTTATAGGTGGAAATGGTCGATAGGTCAAAATCCAACTGACTAAAAACCACCCCATTCCTTCTCCTGCTCCAAGCCGACGCTGGGGTATGTCCCTTGACCCCCAACCTACCACCATTACACAAAAGTGCTTTAAAGTATTTCAAGTATTTTTACCTAACGTTACTGGAAATAAGACGAATCCTAAAATGATCTTTTAAATGAGGTCCAAAGCAACAAACTTTGTAATAAAATGTTACAGATATATACTTATATAAAGTTTAGTGTAATTTTTTGCTGTGTTTGAATTATGCCGTAAGGACAGAGGAGAACACATTGGCCTCTACTGTTCCCAGGTTCCCACGAGTGTTCTTAAGAGACAATTTTTTCAAAGACTGAGTCTTTTAAACTGCTACCTTTAACCCGACTGCTAATTTTCATGATTATGGAAAACGCCTCTTTTGTTAAGGAGATCCACAGCCAGTCATGGCATACTCACTGATTGTTTTTGTATACATCTTGACTTTGGTTTCCTTTTCTAGACCGAGTGTCCCTGGGCTGGACGGCTCTGCTGGGCGCCCTGCTGCTGCTGACGCTTGCAGACCGCGAGGATCTGGAGCCAGTGCTGCACAGGATCGAGTGGTCCACACTGCTCTTCTTTGCCGCACTCTTCGTGCTTATGGAGGTATGTTTCAACTAAGCGAATTTGTACCGATACGAAAATCTTTATATAACTCCTTCCATGCCGAGTGATGAGGGAGTAACAAAGACGATACTCTTTCGGGAGTAAGTGTCAATCTCTTTACAACAAATAACCGCTTTGTTATAACTAGATACTGCTCTGCACTTGAGCTGGAGTATACGGTGGCGAAACTCGGTACTTTAAGCAATTGTAAGCTTAATGTTCATTTCTTCTTCTTAAAAAGTAGCTTACGTTCAGTGGCGGATAATTTCCAGGTTGGTGTATGATGAAGCAGTACTTACTTTGATGAGGTAGCTGATCAAACAATCACGATCGGTTTTTATTGGACATGCGCATCATTTAAAGATAGTTTCAGTGACCACAATGCAACCTAAGCCTTCTTACATGCTTTTACTTTGAACAGTGAAGGCATCAAATCTAAACTAAATTAAATTAAATGTTTCTCCGGCTTTTGTAATATCAAAGAGGTGGACGAAACGACAAAAGAATTAAGGTGCAATTGTATTTATCCTTTTGATATATCTTGGCAAAGATTGGTATTTATTCACTGTTTGCTCATAACTAGTACTTTTATTGAGGAGGGAAATCATCAAATGGCTTTCCAATTTGGGTGGGGCGAGTCGGAGTATCAGATTCATACCTACAATCCCGTTCCGTCTCCTGCTGCCTCCCTGGGCCGCGGTGTATTATTAAATCGTACTTGTACTGAACATTGTTATCTTTTTCAGGCCTTGTCCAAGTTGGGTCTCATTGAATACATTGGAGGGTTGACAGAGAGCCTCATCCTAAAAGTGGAGGGGAATGCAAGGCTGGCAGTAGCCATTCTACTCATGTTGTGGGTATGTATAAATTTTATTGATAAAGGGTATTTTTACAGAGTACCAAAAAGCTTAGTTTTCATATTCCTTATTTTATGAAATACGCTAGACGCTAGCAAACGATGGATGGCGCTGTTTGCTGGTGAATCTGGTGGTGGTAATGGACACCATTTACACCAACTTTTTCACATTGAAAATTGAAGGATTGGGGGGGGAGAGGATGGATTAGGCCTCCGGTATTCTCACTTTCACGGCAAAACTGTGGTGGTTTCACGCCCGTTTTCATTGAGATCGTGGTCTCACTCTGGTCGATACGGCTTATCCAGGCCGAAGCATGGCTCTTCCACAGTATTTTTTTACAGTTCATTTAGAAGAAATAGGTTTGCTTTTTGATACACAGAAAATATTGTCTGTATTACTATAGAGATTTTTATAGCAAAAAGCGGCAAACAAAAAAGCGTATTGATCATTAAAGTATGAACCTGATAGTAAGCAATCGGCGCCGACCATGGACGCTCACAATACTCTAGAAAGTACAAACTGCGCTACCGGAGGTTGAGGAGGTTAGGGTTAGTGTAGGATAGTTAGTTATTAAGTTTTAATAATCTAACTTTATAAATCTATTTCCAGGTCTCCGGAGTGACTTCAGCCTTCGTGGACAATATACCACTGACCACTATGATGGTTCGAGTGGTAACTTCACTGGGTAACAATCCTACCCTGAACCTGCCCATGGCACCGTTAATCTGGGCGCTATCTTTTGGAGCCTGTTTAGGAGGTAAGATTTAAAAGTTAAAAACTTCAATTTTAACTAAAACTTTTGAAGGTGAAAAAATAAGCAATAGCCAGTAATCGTGTATTGGAACCTGTTTATTATGTAAGCGTTCCTTGATGTAGTGTACTAGTGTTGCTTCACGTTGCTTTTCTATGTTGCCGTGATATCACTCCAGTCACGCCGGTTCATTCGTAAATAATATTTAAGAAAACTCTTTTTTTGCTGTCCGTTTTTTAACCGATTTTAAATTTGATTACGATGGTGGAATGTCAAGTCTGGCAATCCGTCTCTCCTCACCCTGGGCGGGAGTATTCGTTTGATGATTGTCCCCTCACAAAAACCCATCAAAATTGTAATGTTATTTGAAACGAACTACTGGCTAACTTTTTAAATGAACTTTTTTCCAGGTAACGGAACTTTAATTGGCGCAAGCGCAAACGTCGTATGCGCGGGAGTGGCTGAACAACATGGTTACAAGTTCAGTTTCCTTCAATTCTTCAAAATAGGTTTTCCTATAATGATTGGCCATTTAATTGTGGCTTCAGGATATCTTATGTTATGTCACTGTGTTTTCCAATGGCATTAGAAAAGGACAGAAGTATTTTGGAAAGAGATGCCAATACGTCTAAGTATTTTCGAGTATGTTTGGTTTGTAAAAAAATATTTATCGTCTTGTTGTGAACTTTTTGAACGTATGTTTAGAAGTTTTGTGATTTAAGTATATTTTTTATGTACTTATTTGTATATACAGCGCTTTTTTTAACTGTTAGCTCTCATTCAGATTAGCTTGGCTGGTATATTAAAAAATTGCGTTACATGTAGCTCTCCGCCTAGCCCAGGTTTTGATCTATTTATACGCCATAATTATTTTATCAAAATTCGTTCAGTAGTTTTCGCTTTAATGAGTAACAAACATTCATTTTTGCAAATAAAAAGTCAGATAGGTACATGTTTTTTAGGAGATTTTGGGAGAAAAAAAATGTTTGGTTATATAATATATACATTTTTTCTTTTTATGATACTTAGTTTTCTGTAGTTGTCTAATAGCTTATGTAGCAGTTTATTTAAAGAAAAGCTAATTAATTGTGGACTGTGAATTAGTAAAAAAATATTGTTTATTTTAATGTGATCCGTCCGAAGATTTTTTGAAATATATTTTTAATACTTACTAGTTGCAGATGGCATTATTATAAAACTGTATAATTAAAACTAAAAAAAAAAAACGCAAAGCTGTGGAAACATTTGTTTAAAATTATTTTTTTTATCCTATAAAAACACAGCTTCGTAATGTTTTTAGACTTAGCTCAGACTTTTTAGTGAATGATTTATAAAAACTTCGCAAGAAATCGGTCGAGTCGTTATTCATTTATTATGTCGCGAAATAAATACGTCAATTCAATTAATATTCACATACATTATGGATATTACTATCCTTTTTTATCAGATAAAAACAGTATCCATATCCTACTAAAATTTTCTCCGTTTACGGAGACAGCCTTTATGAAAAATTACCAATGTTAATAGCAAACAATTTTGAATGATATTTGAAATGATTATTCGAGTAGATTACGTACAAGTAATTGTATAGTTTGATAATATATAACAGTATTGTTATTTGAACAAATTTTTAGAATAGGTACATAATTTACAACCATCTTATATATAATTTCATACGTGTATGTAGCCGGAAGATGGCATGATTCTAGAATAGAATATACAAACAAATAATTTATATAGAAACAAAATTATATAAAAACCTCCAAATAGATTTGTATTTGGTTGTTTTCAGACTTTAAAAGACCCTCTACGTATCCCTGATCTATTTTTTCTATGTTTTAGTTGGAAATTCCTAGACCCAATTGCTTTTGCATTTTTACATGTTGTTTTTTTTAAAATAGATAATGTCGTACATAAGGACCGAAATATTATTAAATTTATAATCGAATATTATAAAAGAAGAAACAGTAAAGTTAGAATTACATAAAAAGATAATATTTATTTACATTTTTTTAAAAAATAGAAATTAATATTCTTAAAAATTATGATCAAAAATTTATCACTTGTAATATATATTTTTGTTTGGATAATTTTAATATAATGAAGGTCTTTAACGTTTTACCAAAAATGTGTTTTTTTGTAATAAAACGTCAATTTATTATTTGTAAAAGTCATGTTTTATAATTTGTTATAGTTATTACATTTTGGATGATGTACCTATATAATTACCATTGTTATTTTAATAATATTTTTTTATTATTAAATTAAAATGTCTGCAATCACATGAGTTTAAATACTAGTAAAGATATTTCTACACATAAATGCCCAGGCAAATATGAAACCATTTTATTTTAAGCCAAAATTTATATGCAAAATAAAATACAGTAACTATTAACTACTAACAACAAATTAATATATTAACTTAAAAGTTATCTGTAATTTATCAATGCCATTGATATTTACTATCCGTGTCTATTAAGTTTATTCTTTGACTATAAATAATAATCATGTTTTCTAGAAATATTATAAATAATATAACTTATAAAATTAACGGATATTATATTTATAAATATAAAACTAAATATATTTAAATTATAAACGTTGGAAATGTTTTGTTGTAAATTAAAATGATAAAAAAATAGTATTACTTGCTTATATTTTATAATATTATAATGCAACATTCCAGTTGCTAAAGTTGTATATTATTATTGTTAAATTAATATTGTTGTATTTTTATCAAAATTAGTTATCTTGCTTCCAGATGAGCAATATTTTATGCAATTATTAGTATATAGTAGTCATACCAAAAATGTTAAGATACATAATTAGACTGGATTGGTTTGGTCGATGTGCATCCATCAAGTTGATAAAAAATATTGCCCATTTAGAAGTACTTTTATGTGCGGAACGCAAGATAGTTAAGCCAACCTATATAATCCATAGTTGTTGAAATGATTAATGTGAGAGTTTCCATCGATATCAACGAAAATCGGTCGCATAAAAAAACACAATTTTTATCGTATAATTATAAAATTAAGTTTTAAAGTCATTATTGACACGGGGGTACTTTTTTTTCTGCTCAGCCGATGCTCAATCCAGTAGTCTACGCCTAATCACTACAGTGATAATCAATAATAGGATGTTACTATCCTAACTAGCTAATCATTTATTGGACAACATTTCGCTAAATTACCAATCTTGGTTGTAAGCTTTTACTAGCAGCCACATACCGACTGTTTCTTGTTGATATCAATGTCAAGACTTTCAGGATACGCAACAACGAACTCTACCCGCGTCCGTTCATTTGAAATGGATTTTATTATCCAAATAAATAATGTTACGTAGTATAAATAAAATTTTGTGATATTAAATAAAATTAAATTTACTGTAAGTATATTGTAATAAGAATTTTAATGAAACAGACAAATGACGTAATAATTTTAAGTTTAAATAAAAAAGTATGAGTACCTACGTATTGTGTTCTTATTTCAAACTAGCTCAACCGGCGAACTTAATGAGCTGATGATGTGTGAAACTATGAAACAATGAATTTATTTTTGCAAATAGGCCATAAAACAGCACTTTTACACGTCAATTTATATGTGAAAACTATGAAGCCGGCATTTCCTATTTGACTACTCTGAGAAGAAATGCCGAAATAAACTCAGAGGTCAGTCTGTTGACTTGCTTAAGGTTCAGTATTGTTTGTAGGACTTTGTAGAAATTAACACACGTCTTAGCAGTATGATGGTTTATTCGGTACTATTCTAATGAACAAGACAGATGATCAACGATTAAATACACACACAGTCTCTTTTCAAGTCCAGACAATGTAAAATAACATAATGTGAGAGAACCGTGCAAGTTCATTCTGTAGTGATCTTTTGAGACCCGTTCTGGAGACAGGCACGCAAGTGTCAGTTTGCAACCAGCATGATGATGATGTATCTTCTACAAAGGTACGAAAGACCATCTACTAAAATATGTCTAAGAAGAATGGAGATCGTTTCCCACCAAAAATTCAAACCCGATTTTTGAAAGTTGCCACTTATGGGGTCTTGTGGCTGTAATAATGAGAAGCAAAAGTGACTTGTTCAGATTTTATAAAAGAGTAATAATTATCGTATGTGTATTAAATGTGGGAAAGCCAAGCTTCGGCACCATTCGTGCCGGTCGGCTCGACCGGAGTGATACCACGGCCTTACAACTTGAAATAATTTAGCAACAGGGTTGTATTTTGTCCCGTGAGTGAGGTGAATAGAGGCCCAATCCTTCCTCTCCTATCCTTGAATCCCCAAAACCGTTTATCTCTAAAATGCTGGCAAAGCAGTTGCAACTTATCTGTTGCTGTTGCTGATGACCATATGGGAAGCACTGTTTGCTTACCATCAGGTAATCCATCCTGAAATCTCCAAATCTTAATCCAAAAAAGATCGGCAATAACCATATCACGGCCTAACAGAAAACCGGCGCAAGCGCCGTTCAGCCGGCTACATCTAGTTTTTCACATATAAATTGGCCTATTTGCAAAAATAAATTCATTGTTTCATTGTGTGAAATTACCGGTGGCCCAATCCCTTCCCCTCCCCTATCCCATCCCAATCCTTATAAAAAATCAATCCTTATAACAAGCCGGCATCGCACACGTTACTCCTTTGGTGTTGCGGGTGTCAGGTAACAGGTAATCCAGCTCGTTTGCCGACTAATTCCATAAAAAAAATGCCTCTTCCCTTGGGTAAGGCGACAGTCCGTTTCAGACTCTTACTGACTAAAAACCATCCGGTTCGGATTGTAGTTGTGAAGTTCCAACGCTACGCCTATCGCCCTCCCTCGATGCGACAAGTAAATAAATAAAACGATAAAACATCTTAAACTAATTATATTTATTAAATAATAGTTTTATACAAAATATATAATATTTACAACACTTACTTAAATATAAATTATAATTTTGTGGATAGATTTCTAATACTTACTTAATTGGAAGTAAAATTAAATACGTATAATTATATCTATTAAGCCATGTAAAAACGGCTTGGTTTAAATTTCTGCTACTGCCCTTACGCTTCCTTAGGTCGTTTGAGAGCCTACTTAGTACACATTTGGCAAATTAAAGACAAGAGCATTCGCTAGTATAACGTAAAAATTTTTATTCCAAGCTTTTAATTTTGCCTTGCAATGTATAGTATGGCTGTGCAGTGGAATATTACAACTAATTTTTAAAGCATGATATTATATCCGATTAACTTTGCGTGACTATAAAAGTATAAAAATTCTGACTATGCCATATAAAACGAATTTTTTTTCATTCTAACTCTAATTTCATCCCGTTTTTATCCCGTCGTATCGTGAATAGATCCAGCGTAGAATTTGTCGTATAAATTTTTACAACAACTGTTATAGATCATTGAGACAACACTAATATACGGTGAAGGAAACCTGGACTTATCATAAATTGTGATTAGCATTGATCGCTAAGTGACCTTAAGCAAGCGTGGAGATTACTGCTCATTCATTCTTTGAGCGAAACCCTTTCCTCAGCAGTGGGCACTTATGGGCTGATGACGATAATGAAAGTGGTGGTGGTGGTGGTGATGATGTTGTTGGTAATGTTAGTTGTATTGGTGATGATGATGACAGTGGTGGCGGTGACAATAATTATACTGGTGGCGATAATAATGATAGTGGTGCTGGTGATTATGATTGCTGTGGTGTTGGTGGTGGTGACGATAATAATTGCAGAGTGGTTGGTAGTGGTGATGATGATGATAAGAATTAATAAAGTTATTTGCGTCTCTGAGGTTCACAGTAAGTTGGTTCTACGTATTCTTGCGCAGAGCTATTAGCGTAGGGCGAATTATGTACATTCGTGTAAGGATTTTGATTCTTAGATGCCACATTGGCTTCGCAATACATTGGTTCCTCAGCGTTCACGTAAGGAGATTCTTTAGCGACATTTGCGTAATTCCTATTGAAAACCTCGCTATAATTAGGATCATTTGTGTCTTTTATAATGTTCCTTTTTTGCTTAGCTTTGATATTTAAGATGGCGTATGTTGGACCTACTTGGTTTTGTTTAAGTTTCCTTGCGTTTTTCGGCACGGGTTCCGTGTACAGTGGTTGTATGGGTACACTGTAGGCCGGCTCCTCTTGCCTGTGGTCTACGGGCACGGCGTAGTTGGTTGCTTCCCACTGTGCTGGGTAAGGAGGAATGGAACTTTCGCTGGGTGTCGACAAATTTTCATAGTTATTGCACTGAGGGCTGCCCTGTGGACGGACATTAAGATTTCAGACGTAAGTTCAAATATAATTGAGAAGTCATCATTCATCACACATTACACATCACCCATCATCCATACTAGAACATTCATCATAACTCATAAATCATGACCCATCAACCATCATCCAACATCCGTTACACATTATTCATCATCCACTAATATACTGCAGAATTACCTGAGTTTGATTCCTCTTGCGCATTTTGACAAGGATTATGAAGACAGATATGATTATCACGCAAATGAGTGCTGCAATGGCCGCGATCACTTCATATGGCACTTGATTACTTACTGACACTGTAATTATACAACATTTTATATTTATACATAATTATGCCAGCAAACTTAGTAAGCCATTCAATTAAAGGCCTAGCTTGTCTTATAAATGATATCGCTGGACAATTCTCGTGTTTATTTCTAATATTACTGCGATTTCTGGTCGAGACGAAGTCCTAACATAATTAAATTCTGGCAGTAAATCGATTATAACGATGATCCCCTCACTCATCAGGTAACCAGTTATGGTTATAATCCCATCATGACCGTGTGATTGAATTTAAGTGAAGTAACGAAGTGAATTTAAGTGTGGGAGAGCCATGCTTCGGCACTAATGGGTCGGCTCGACCGGAGTGATACCACGGCCTCACAGAAAACCGGCGTGAAATAACCACAGCGTTGTGTTTCGCCGTGTGAGTGAGGTTACCGGAGGCCCAATCCTTCCCCTCCCCCAATCCCTCCTAAATCCCTAAATCTCCAAATCCCTAATCCCTAAAAGTTCGGCAACTTACTCGTAACTCCTCCGTTGCGAGTGTCCATGGGCGGCGCTGATTGCTTACCATCAGGTAATCCGTCTGCCCGTATGCCGACCTATTAAACAAAAAAAAAAAAAAAAAAAAATGACCAGGACCGGGATTGCGAGTGCACGTGCAATAATGTACCGCGGCTTCGGCCTCTGAGTAGACGGGACGGGGTGGTTTTTAGTTAGTAAGAGTCTGATACTCATCCAACCCAGGAGTGAGAGAAGTCATTTGATAGATTATCTCGGGAATAATCGGGAATAGCCTATTAGCATTCACTCGCACCGATCAAAACCAATCCTGACTCTCTAAACTACTATGCTAAACTATGGCTACAAATGAAGACTATAATTTTTACTGCTGTTTCCTCAGAGTGTTTTATGTCGTATTTGGTTACGTGTTTAGCTACGGTATATATTTTTTATGTCACCCTATGATTAAATTAATTTATAAATACATATGTACGCGCTATGTGTGTAACTTGGCCGGAGATCGCACTGGACAGAGAAATTTGGAAGGAAAAAGGGGAGGCCTTTGCCCAGCAGTGGGACACACGATAGGCTATAAAAAAAAATACATATAATGTATGTTGTTTGTAAGACTTTCTCTCTCACCTGTGTTTGCGTCGGAGTTCGGTGAGTCAGGATCATCTGCACAATAAATAACACAAAGTTGTTATTAAATCAGATACACGAAAGACAAGGCTTAAATTTACTTCAAAAGAAGATTGGACCAAAAATGTCGCCTTGGAGCAACCCCAAGACATTTTAATGGAATTGAGACTACCATTTCTTTGTTATAAACAGATGACGCTTATCTAATTAGAAATTCGTTTGTCTAATCATTATAACTGTCGGAAATTGAACGCCTAATGGTATAACACTAGCTGATTCCCTATTGGACAACACACGAGAGGTTACACTGGCAAAAAAATGATAATACCCATTTCGTCAGGCACGCTGTTATATAGGAGTAAGATGAGGGATTATTACCCCTTTGAGGAGTGGCTTGAGAGACGCCACGGCGTTCTCATCTTTCCCCTGGCACATGTGCTTACCGGGCTCGGGCACCTTCGGAAGGTTCCTATTTCAGATCCGACGGGAGGAACGCCCGAGTGCCGTCATTTTTAGGGAAGTGATCAGGGGTGGCGACATCCCGCACTCGGCCTTAGCCGAGACCAAGGTGCGGAGCTCAAAGAACTGGGAAGCGAAGTATTTATACTGTTTCTGAGCGGAGAAAGCAGCGCGTGAGGCAGCTGGATGGAGCAGGATAGCTCCCTGTTCCTGACACCCCAGCTGCCGCAGTAAGGATCGAGAGACGATCTCCGGCAACCATAAGCGCGGATCGAGCGTACGACGCGTTGCGGTCTGCGTGAGCCTCAAAGAGCCAATAGATCACCACAGACGGGGCCCGGAAGGGCTGTTGTTCAGCCAGAGTAGCGGGGTACACGCAATGAGGCACCGCGGCCTCACTCTGGACGGGAGAAGTCATTATTTTGATGATGTTCCAAAATTGTGACTTTGGGCATTGGGAATTGGGAGTTCATTGGTTCTCCGTTAACATCTATCATTACCATCAGCCTATAACCGGCCACTGCTGAGCAAAGGCCTCATCAACATGGAGAAGGTTTGAGCATATCACAACGCTTACTCAAGGCCCATTAGTGATTTCAAACTTATAAATTCAAATTATATATAAGTGTAGGTTTCCTCACGTTTTTTTCTTTCACCGTATGTGGTGAAATGAAAAAAGTGGTGCCTAAATAACTATAGAAAGTACATATAACTCTGAAAAAATCACATTGATTGGTACTTGCTAGGTATCGAAACCGCATCCTCGTGTATGTGTAGCGGGCGCTTTAACCTCTGGGCCACAGCCACCGACACCAAATACATACAAGCATTGTTTCAAGACGAATTTTCATCTGACCGTGTCTGTAGATACGTGGCTTAATATGGTAGAAAATGAAAATAAGGGGTAATTATATGAAGATTCATCGCCCGAATGCAGAGAGCTGTGACATCGCATCTTCAGTCTGCTTACGACCACGAGCTATGCAACCAGGTCTAAACGCCAAGCCTACCAAGCTATTTAAATAACATCCGCTGAATGTTACGTTGTTAACAGGAAACGGAACACAACAAGTAAGTAAGCTGGTTAATTTAAAACTTACAACCAAGAAAAGAATTGTTTTGTGACATAGTAGAATGCATTTATCATTCATCACCTACTCTTTCTGACTGTCGGATAGGACGACTAGAGGACTGTCAATTTGACAGAGTCTAGGCAGGAAGTTTGACAAATTGCTCAAGCGCGCATTTTGACCAACTTTCACTCCAGCAGTGTTAGTAGATTTATAAAGAAAAAACAGAACTTACGTATTTCCTGATTGGCATCAGTAGAAGGAGCTTCAGGTTCAATTAAATAAGGTTTTTTTACAAATATCACTGTAGACGTATACATAACTTCGTCATGCTCAAGTTTCTGTTCGTCATTAACTTGATCTTTAAGATAACATACTACTGAAGATTTTTCGGATTCAGAATTTAAATGCACTATTTTGGAAATAATATTTTTGTCTGTTGTACCTAAAAATAAATGATTGTATATTAGGATAACAATTCAGTTTTAAATTGCAAAGAAAATGTCCAAGCCCATGAATACAGTTACCGGAGGCCCAATCCTAATCCGCCGTTCTCACCTCCCATCCCCAAATGCGCAATCCTCAAATTTCTAACGCCATCCAAAAGTGCTCGACTACACAGCGTGGTTTTAAACTAGTTCCGTAATCTCGTCAGCCATTATGTGTTTTTTGGCGGCGTTTTGAAGACGAGAGTTTGGGCCTCCGATAACCTCAGTTACACTGCAAAGTCGTTATATTACTTTGGTAAAGCCATCCCATGGCATTCCCGTTTCGAAAATATATCTCACTCCCCTGCTTAGTACCGACATGCAACTGGTTGGGATTTTAAGTCTTGCCCCTCATTTCTAAATATACTATCTTTCATAAAAATAAGAATAAGCGAAATTATTTCTTAGCTTACCAACTAATATTTTAACATAAAATGATTACTTACTATTTTTTTCAAAGTGCATATAAATCACATTTAGTGGGGGCTTAATAACGGAACATTTAACTACTAGAACTTCATCGGCATCATATTCGTAGTATATTTTCTGCCAATTGTCCGCGTGTAGTTCCAACACGGTCTGATTTGCAGGTAAAGACATTTCCATTAGAGTTGATTCTGAAAAAATTCACAGAAACTTATCATAGTCGGTTAAAAAATTAAGACCCTTGGTGATGCCAGAAATGAAATTTTTAACGGCATTTACTCCTCTTGCTTTGCGTCTTTTAAAGCCGACTAAGGTACTACCAAATAGAAAATGATCAGGAAATTGAGGCGCCCGCTTCTCAAGTATGAAGATGCGGACATCTCAACCACTTCAAGATAAAGGCTAAAGGAAAAAATTGTAATGAACTTGGACTGAAGGAGCCCGAGATAGGATTTTTGTAGAAACCCAAGCGCGTCAAATTCGTTTGGGAAATATCTAGTATCTTTTTGGACACTTATAGGCTAGTAATGGTATACAGGGACGAGGCAATAATGCAATGTACCGCCAAGCGTAGTGATATTAGCAAAGGCCTTATTTGGCTCATAATCTAATAGTGCGTTAGATTAACATTTGATGCTTTATAGATTAGGACAAGGATGTAAATTACATTGCAACTCTAACAAACCACCGTAATCATGGATTTGCGAATAGCGAGCAAGAGTACCTCGCCTCGCCAAAGCATTTTTTTTTTTTCAATTTGTTGATTTGAAAAAAGGAATGTTCGTGACCTATTCGTTTACTTACGGTTCAAAAACATATCACCAGGTCTTAATTGTATATCACACATCTGCGCGGCAGGTCCGTCCACTGAGTCTACGGTACACCTGAACTTAACTATATTTTTTTCAAGATAAAGACTTATTATGCTTTTTTGTTCAGGTATTATTTCTGAAACAGGTAAGCGTTATGCAATGTTAATATTTTGTTTTAGAATACCTTACTGTCCTCAATATCCTCCCCAAAAGTTCAGTAACCCACTTTGACCTCTGGTATTGCAGAGAACATGAGTGGTACTTATTGGTTACCATCTCATCTCATGCTCAATTCTGCTCAGTTCGATAGCGGGTTCGGAACAACTTTTTACGATTGCTCGTGCACTTAGGGCGGTGCGCGGTCTAAGCAGTTAATGTTCGGCTGGAAAAAGTAACTTTAAACTGATATAAACCATTTTCTTTCAAATAGTAAGCTCGAATGATCGGTCGGCTACGAAGTTATGAATAAGAGTCCCCTTGTGACTTGAAACTAGTAGAGGGTTTCTTAGTAAACATTATTTTCAAGTGATAGAAATAAAACTCGGTGGAGCCTTACCTTTCCTTCCGTTGTCAATGTTAAAAACCTTTAGTCTATATTTTGGAGTTGTTTCACAGATGACATCTATTCTGCTGTTGCTTTTATATTTATAGTTTATAACGTGTAGAAGAGTGCTTCGGTTCTCGAGTCGTGGTCGTATTGTTAATCCATTTATTGTTATTTTCATAGGATCTGTAAAATATAATTTAAAAATAAGTTTTTAAAATCTATTTGGCACGAATTCTTCCGGAACTATACCACGGCCTCACAAAGAACCGGGGTGAAACGACGGTTGCGCTAAAACCGCTAATCCTCAAATACCGAAAAAGTTGCAAAAACACTTTCAACTCTTTGATTTTGGTGTTGCCGATTGCTTACCATCAGGTCTTCCGTCTACTATTATTTAGTAAAATTGCATTATATTGTTAAACTTGATGTAAATGTAATCTATTACAATTGGTAAGACTAGCAGAATGTCGGTCCTTATATCAGCTTGGAGTTGTCATGCTCACTCAAAGGCCACATTGACGGTGGCACGGGTGCTGGATCGCTCATTTCCCTCTTCTATTTTACCTTTTTATTTCAATTTTACCTCTTTATAGTATTAGTATAGATTTTCAAAGTATGACTTGTTTTTATGACTAATACTTGATGAGAGCAATATGGGCTCATCACCTTACTAAAGCACTTAATGGAGCCCGTGTTGTAGTTGGGAAAATCATCAAATGTGTTGACGCCGTGGGTGAGGGTCAGACTTTGATTGACTGAACTTTGTTCCTCCTAATGCTTCAGGCCGATGCAGCCGTTCATTATTGCGCTTAAGCCGCAAACTTGACTACCCCACTGGGAATAAGGATTTCTAAATAACAAATGCTGTGTTAGGAAACTTACCAGATTTTTGTATAAATCTCAGCCTCACTGTAGAGTAATCCAATTGATTGGCAATTGTAAACAAACAGTACTTGCCATCGTGCAATGAAGTCAACGTCGTTTTAATACCAACTATTTTATTTGAATCGAAATTGGTTTCAATAAATTGATCTGTAACAAAAATAAAAATATGTAATAAAGATATCACATAGGAAGGTAAAAGACCTCAGACATAATGAAGATGAAATAAAACGAATACAAATAATACTACTCACTTGAAATGAACTAAAAAGCATAAAATAAATTTACTTTGTACAATTTTATTTGATGATAATGAGATAATTAATATGATGATCTTTCTATGATATGTATAATAAACTAGCTTTTGTCCGCGACTCCGTTCGCGTGGACTTCCTACAGATTTTGTGTATAAAAACTATCCTATATCCTTTTTCGAGAACTAAGCTATGTCTGTACCAAATTTCGCACAAAACGGTTCAGTAGTTAAGGCGTGAAGAAAAGGGCAGACAGACAGACAGAGTTGGTACTTTCGCATTTATTATATTAGTTTGGACTTGGATTTGAAATGACCAATCCGCCTTAAACAAGCATGGTCATTAATGCTCAAACGATTTCCATGTGAGAAGAAGCCATGTGATGTATGGTATAAATAAGTATACATTTTGTAATGCAATGGTTAACTTACTGCTTTGTTCGCCTAAATAAGGGCATTTCATGTTAAGTGTATTTTTTATACTATAGGTTTTAGCCACACTAATAATATTGACCACATCTCCTAATTCGTAAGTGTAGACAGTAGTAAAATCAGCTTCCACTTCCGATAACGGACTTCGTATTAGAAACATCGCCATATTGTTAACTAGGATGACCAGAGGAGCTTCTGTAAAATTAAAAGGAATAAAAATTACAATAAAAACGGCCATTAGATTGCCACCTATATTCTGTACTTGTCGCTGAAAATCAGCGCCGCGACACTGTCTCGTATGGGGTCGCTGCATAATGCTGAGCGAGGGCCATTTCGCGTGCTTGGACCATCGATCACTAATAAAGAACTTCTTTATTAGTGATCGATGGCTTGGACGCATATTTTTCTCCTACCCTCTACTTTTGTTATATTGTTTTACCATGCTTTGTGTATTTTTATTTTTAACTTCATTTTTATTATCTTGTTCGTTTTGTGTTTTGATGCGCCCCAGACGCGAAGAAATACTTTTTGTTTTTTGTTTGTGCGAATAACCGATTTTTTTTTTGTCAGTATTGTTCAGCGACACGCGTAAATTGAGCTGGTTGTTAACTGACACTTGAGTGCCTGCCTTCAAAATCGTTCCATTCCAACTGGTGTGGTTCTTTCCTCAAAAGACCACTACTTATACGTTGAACTTTTACGGTTCTCACACATCTATACTAATATTGTGACGGAAAAGTGGTTCAAACTCTTTGACATCATGACGTCAATGGATGGTTGTCAAACGTTGCCTAGAGATTGTAAATTTCGTCGTGAATTGTCAATACGAGTTGGTGTAATTGGTAAGGCGTGTGGATTACACCACAGAGACCCCGAGTTCGAGTCCCGCCGTAAACATGAAGTTTTTTAGTTGATGGAAGTTTTGTCGAACTTTCTGGAATTATTTGTGTGAAAGAGATGAAAAATTAAAGAGTGAGAAGGAGAATAAATAAAAATGAATAGCGAAATTATTGGAAGGTTCTGGAGGCATGACGATCAAAAAGAATAACGAAATTGAATGTTCCAGAACCTGACCGGGGGTATATAAGCAGAACTGCGGCTCACCGCTGGCAGTTGAGTTCTAAGTCTAAAGCGATTCGAAAGAAAAGAAAGAAGTGAGAAAGAAGAAAAGTGAGTGAAATAGTGAAGTGCAGTGAAATAGTGCAGTGCAGTCAGTTAAGTGAGTTAAGTCAGCGTGAACGGCAAAGTTGTGTCAGTCGGCCGGACTCTGCTGGAGAGGAACGCCGATAACTTAACTCCGTGGACGCTGTAACTTAAGTGCAATAGAAATTCTGAAAACCGGTATTAGTGTTTCATTTCATCCAATCCCGTAACCCAAGCCCGCATAGTCAGGCACGTAACATTTGGTGTCAGAAGTGGGATTGGAGAAAAATGCCGCTAGTGCCGCAGGACGTAAGAGGAGTGAGTACCTGCGCAATGTCAGAAGCGCAGCGTGTGAGGGAAGAGGGTGCTGCAGCTCAAATCAGCGATGCAGAAGCCAAGCCTGTGCAGGTGGATCTTCTGCTACAGCTGCAGCAAATGATGGTAGAGCAAGCGCGCCGCCAAGAAGAGCAAGCGCGCCGCCAAGAAGAGCAAGCGCGCTGTCAGGCAGAACAGCTGCGGGAGCTGAAAGAAGAGCAAGCGCGCCGCCAAGAAGAGCAAGCGCGCCGCCAAGAAGAGCAAGCGCGCCGGCAAGAAGAGCAAGCGCGCCGCCAAGAAGAGCAAGCACGCTGTCAGGCAGAACAGCTTCGGGAGCTCAAAGAAGATCAAGCTCGCCGCCAAGAGGAGCAAGCGCGTCGCTTGGAAGAGATGCACAAGGATTTCACGAAGGGACTGCAAAAGGCTGTCGAACGGGTACAGGAAGTGGAGGAAGGGTTAGGCAAGTTGGAACATCGCGTCATGGCCATAGAGGAGAGAGTGGAAGAAGAGATCTCCAAAATCAAGCAGGAAATGACAAGCCCAAGCCCTTTGAAGAGCCGAAGCCGTCTTGCAGCCGTTTTTGACGCCCCAAATGCGGCCTCAAGCGCAACGAAAGGGCTCAAGATTCCCCATTACGACGGAACAACATCCTGGACCGCGTTCAAGCTACAGTTCGAGACACTTATGGAGGCTTATGGTTGGACTCAGAAGGAAGCACAGTCAGCCCTCACCCTGGCCCTCCGTGATCAAGCGCTCTCAGTGCTGGAAGCTATCGGCGCAAGTGGGGATCTCAGCTTTAGTGCCCTCCTCGACGCACTGGAGGCACGTTTTGGAGACAGCCACCTCGAGCACGTGTACAGAGCGCAATTAAAAGAGCGTACTCAGCGTGCTAATGAGAGCCTACAGCAATGGTCCGTGGAAATCGAGAAACTTGTGCGTCGAGCTTTCCGGTCGACTCCGTCAATGATTGAAGGCACGCTTCTCCAAGCATTCATTGACGGTATTCGGGACCCCGAAGTACGAGCTGCTGTTCATCTGGGCCATCACAAGAACATGAAAGAAGCTCTGGCCCATGCATTGGAAGTGGAAGCCGTGCGTGGCAACCCCCGTACCTTAGGTCTGCGGGAAATGACGACAACGGAGCAGGTACCTCCACGCCGTCGGAACTTCATGTGCTATGGATGCGGAGAGCGTGGGCACATACGGAGCGACTGCCCGAAGAAGATGAACCGCCAGGACGCGGCGGTCTCAACTTCTGACCAGCAGGGAAACTTAAATCCAGCCAAGGCTGCGGGGTGGGCGCTGGCTGGAAGTGGAACAACCCCAACAATCTACATCAAGCAAACCAACGATGGAAATACACTGGTGATAGACGGTCAAGTAAATGGGAAAAACAGTCAGCTAACATTAGATACTGGAGCTTCAAGGACGGTGATAAATGTTCGGCTGTTTGGGCAAAACATCAGGAAACACCTTAAACCAATTGTTGGCCTACGAATGAAATCAGCTACCGGCCAGTGCATACCGATAAGTGGAAAACTGCATGTAACAATCAAAATTGGGGAACGTGTTTATCGACATGAGGTTATTGTGGCCGAAATTCTGGATGACTGCATCCTGGGACTTGACTTCCTGCAAGGGCACCAGTGTAACATCGACTTAAAATCTGGAGTATTACTATGTGGAACTGAGGAAATTCCGATGAAGGGTGGAACCCTGGGAAAAGTTTGCTGTTTAAGAAGAACTGTTCTTGCACCAAAATCACAGACTCTCGTACCAATTGCATTACCTAGGAGGAGGGAAGGAAGTTTACCTCGAAGGTGCGCTGTGATTGATAAATCGGAACACGTAAACTCATGGCTACCGGCAAGAACTGTCGTGGGGTCATCTGATGTCAACCGCATTCCGGTATTCAACTTCAGTGATTCAAAAATTACGATTGAAGAAGGAGAGCCTGTGGGCGTATTGGAAGAAGTGGCCTGGATAAGAAAATGCTCGGAAAATCTTGTGAAGAAGGACAGTACGGGAATAGACTTTGTAACGAAAATCTTAGACGAAAACAAAAGTCTGACAAAAGTGGAGACTATGAAAGCTAGAAATTTACTTCTTCGATTCTCTGATGTGTTTTCAAGAAGCGATGGTGATATTGGCCGAACTGGTTTGGTGAAGCATAAAATAAACACAGGTGATACAATGCCAATTCGTCAAAGGCCCAGACGTATACCATTCGCTCGTGAGAAAGAGGTTGAAGAAATGATTGACGATCATCTAAGGAAATTAGAAAAGGTACTCGACAAGCTGCGTGGAGCAAATTTAAAGTTGAGTCCAAAGAAATGCTCTTTCTTCAAGCGCGAAGTGAATTATCTAGGACATGTTATTTCTGAGAGAGGAATTGAGACTGATCCAGCCAAGACTGTCGCTGTTAAGGAATGGCCAACACCTAAAGACAAAACGCAAGTTCGGGCATTTCTTGGATTGTGCTCGTATTATCGGCGGTTTGTGAAAGGATTCTCGGACATTGCCAAGCCTTTGCATCGATTGACAGAGGAGAAACGTGCCTTTATCTGGGACGAGGATTGTGAGCAAGCCTTTCGAGAACTAAAGGAAGGGCTTTGTAACACACCAATTCTCGGATACCCCAGCGCGAAAGGAATATTCGTAGTAGATACGGATGCCAGCAATATTGGAATAGGAGGTGTCCTTTCACAACGCGATGGTGAGCAGGAGAAGGTTATTGCTTACTTCAGCAAGTCACTATCCAAGCCGGAGAAGAATTATTGCGTGACCAGGAGGGAATTGCTGGCCGTAGTCAAAACTCTGCACCATTTCAAGAAGTATTTACTGGGACGGAAATTTTTGATCAGAACTGATCACGCTGCTTTGAAATGGCTGCTTCAGTTTAAGGATCCCGAAGGCCAAGTAGCCAGATGGTTGGAACAACTTCAGGAATTTGACTTTGAAATCGAACATCGCGGCGGAAGAATTCATGGCAACGCAGATGCATTATCGAGACGCCCATGCGTGGAAGATTGCAAGCATTGTGCCAAGAAGGAAACTGCTTTTCTTAAGGTGATAAGGACTGATACTGTTGACGAGGCATGGGGAGATGATGCGATGAAATTAGAACAGGAAAGAGATGCAGATATTAAACCAATACTGGAGTGGCTACGAAGTGGTAACAAGCCAAGTTGGAGTGACGTCGCCCAATATAGCGCGGTAACGAAAGGTTTATGGGCACAGTGGAAAAGCCTTACGCTGCATAACGGACTTCTGTGCAGGAAATGGGAATCAACAAACGGCAAGGACGAGCATTTGCAATTGGTGGTGCCTCGTTCAAAAATAAGGGATGTATTAAAAGCGTTCCATGATGGATCTTCTGGAGGACATTTGGGAATTAGGAGGACTTTGGTGAAGATCAAGGAGAGGTTTTATTGGTTGCATTGCAAATATGACGTCGAAGATTGGTGCCGGAAATGCACTAGTTGTGCAGCTGTCAAGGGTCCACAAACAAGAAGCAGAGGGGCGATGAAAATCTACAATGTTGGTATGCCTTGGGAGAGAATAGCCTTAGACATCGCTGGACCATTTCCAATCACTGATTCGGGCAATCGCTACGTTTTAGTGGTTATGGATTATTTTACAAAATGGCCGGAGGTCTTTGCCATACCGAATCAAGAGGCAGTAACTGTAGCCACGAAGTTGGTAAACGAGGTATTCACCCGATTCGGAGTGCCCTTGGAGATGCACAGTGATCAAGGACGGAATTTTGAATCCCAAGTTTTTCAGGAAACTTGTAAACTTTTGGGAATCCATAAGACTCGAACGACCCCTTATCATCCACAGTCAGATGGAATGGTCGAACGCTTCAACCAAACATTGGAGCGACACTTAGCAAAGGTGGTTGACAGCCATCAGAGAGATTGGGACACTTACATACCTCTCTTCTTGCTTGCCTATCGGACTGCTGTACATGAAAGTACCGCAAAGACGCCTGCATTTGCAAATTTTGGAAGGGAATTGAGATTACCGGCAGATCTTGTATCGGGCTGTCCACCTGGCGACACTCGCACCGAGTTTAGCGATTACATAAACGAGTTAAGGGCAAAAATGTTGGACATTTATGAGCAGATCAGGGAGGCCGGTCTTCAAGCTAGTGTTCGCACAAAGACGCGCTATGATCGACGAGCCAATTCTGTTGGGTTTGAAGAGGGGTCATTGGTCTGGCTTCATAATCCAGTCAGAAGGAAGGGAAAATCTCCGAAGCTGCAACCGAGTTGGGAAGGTCCTTATGAGATAGTCACGAAGATCAATGACATTACTTACAGAATTCGGAAGACTTCAAGGAGCCCTTTGAAAGTTGTCCATATAGACAGGTTGGCGAGGTATTACGGCAGCAACGATGCTCGGGACGAGCGAATCTAAGAGGGGGGCAGTGTGACGGAAAAGTGGTTCAAACTCTTTGACATCATGACGTCAATGGATGGTTGTCAAACGTTGCCTAGAGATTGTAAATTTCGTCGTGAATTGTCAATACGAGTTGGTGTAATTGGTAAGGCGTGTGGATTACACCACAGAGACCCCGAGTTCGAGTCCCGCCGTAAACATGAAGTTTTTTAGTTGATGGAAGTTTTGTCGAACTTTCTGGAATTATTTGTGTGAAAGAGATGAAAAATTAAAGAGTGAGAAGGAGAATAAATAAAAATGAATAGCGAAATTATTGGAAGGTTCTGGAGGCATGACGATCAAAAAGAATAACGAAATTGAATGTTCCAGAACCTGACCGGGGGTATATAAGCAGAACTGCGGCTCACCGCTGGCAGTTGAGTTCTAAGTCTAAAGCGATTCGGAAGAAAAGAAAGAAGTGAGAAAGAAGAAAAGTGAGTGAAATAGTGAAGTGCAGTGAAATAGTGCAGTGCAGTCAGTTAAGTGAGTTAAGTCAGCGTGAACGGCAAAGTTGTGTCAGTCGGCCGGACTCTGCTGGAGAGGAACGCCGATAACTTAACTCCGTGGACGCTGTAACTTAAGTGCAATAGAAATTCTGAAAACCGGTATTAGTGTTTCATTTCATCCAATCCCGTAACCCAAGCCCGCATAGTCAGGCACGTAACAATATTATAAAGACGTAAAATTTGTAAGTTTGTTAGTTTGTATGTAGGTGGTAATCTTTAGAACCATTAGTCGGATTGTCAAAATTCTTTCACTGAAAGATAGCTACAATGTTCCCGAGTGCTACAGGCTATAAAATATCACGCTATGATTCAATGGAGCCGAGCAGCGGGTGAAACCGCGCGAGAATAGCTAGTTATTTTATATTTGTCCCGACTTTAAAAGAGACTGACTTTTGAGATTGTTTCGTCGTTTCTTCTCAGAGTAGTCAGATAGGTAATGAAGGTTTCATCAAGACTTTTTCTATAATATTTATGTGTCAAATTACTGTTTTATAAACTTCTTACGTTGTGGTGGCCCAAAGGTTAACGCGCCCGCTCATCATACGCGAGGCTTCGAACCTGGCCAGTACGAATGTGACGTTTTTTCGAGTTATATGTGCTATGATTATGATTATACCTATATATACACCGCTGGTACACGGTGAAAACATCGTAAGATATAATTAGAAATTATAAGTTTGAAATCACCAATCCGCCTCGAGCAAGCGTGGTGATTAATGCTAAAACCTTCTCGGTGTGAGAAGAGGCCTTTGCTCAGCAGTAGGCACTAGGCTGATGATGTTATCCAAAAGTACATATACTTATGCGAATTCAAGTTGAAGTACGCTTACTTACCCTTTCGACGAATGTGGAGCTTCATGGAACAAACAGTATTTGCAAAAGTATCATAATTGACAGTTATGTTGTTCATTATATTTGAAATATTCCTCAGAGAATGAAAACTGCAATCCCATTCCGTTCCCATTTCTTTCACCGCTGTGTACTGTTGGCAGGATATAAAAGAAAAGATGAAAGCCTATGTGAAACAGTGAACATCTTGTGGCCAGTATATGTGTAATGTTACTAACAATATAAAAATTCGGCCGCAAATGACAAAAGAACTTGTTAGTAAAGGCATATCTCAAAGCGTAACGCCGCACTATGGGAAAATCGCGTATGTTCCGTTTCAAAACTCCGTATCTCAGTTATTTCAAAACTAAATGGTCTGTAATTTTGCACACATATACGTGAAAGTATAAGGTTTAAAAGAAAAAATAACAATTTTGAAAATTATGTTTATTAATTTATTTAAAAAATAAAACTTAAAAAAATACATGCATATACATATAAGAAAAAAAATTTTTTTTTGTAATTTCTTCACATAAAATAGAATTAAATATCATTGTATAAACAGTGTCTAACGAGAAAAAAATAATGTACAAAATTCAACAAGCTCCTACAGATTTTCGTTGACAGCAAGAAGGGACTTGGCTTCATCGAAAAGTTCTTTCTATATTGTTTCTGAAGTATTTCTCAAACTTGATATACATGGATCAGAAGTGTATAATAAGGTATGGAACACGTCTGTATTGGTAGCCGCTCTTGAACACTTTCTAGAATGATGAAGTCTAAACTTTTTGTAATCCTTGTTGCGGGATTCTTGAGCGTCTTCGGGCAATTGTCCTATAGGTAAAATAGCATAGTACTCAATGATTTTTTCTCCGTGAATAAGTATTTTATGTACGGAGGAAGGCATATAATACCAATTATAAATATTTACGTACAGTTGGGCGGTACTATATGCGTATTCACCGAACTTTTTTGAATCAATAGCCATTCCAGATGACATAGTTTGTAGTTGTACATACGTTTTATAAGTTCTACGTCTACACCTGTAATGTCTGCAGAGCAAGAGTATTTCTGAAAAAATCTCCTAGCTGTGTTTCCGTCATTACTATTTCCAGTAATTTGTCGAGGTTTATCGATATGCAGTCCCATTTCCTCCCTAAACCGCTTTTGTACTAGTTTTTTCTTTTCGTCTTTGTTTTTTTTTATTTTCTGGTTTAGTGTCTGACCACTTTTGGAAAGACAAGTTATAGGAAATGTGTAAAATCATCTCCATACTTCTAATCCAAGCGTGTAGTGTTAACAGTCCATAGACCATATTTTTATCAAATATGGTGGTCAAAACTATATCAAAACCACAAATAACTATTAATAATTCTCATTACTGTAATGACCATTTTATCAATTTGATCTTAATACATAACAGATGGTTATGTGAGAAGTAAAAAGATACTGGAAAAAAATAAAAAAATATCTCGCGATATGTTTTGGCTCCGTGTCAGAAAAGGCGCAAGTATGCGCAACTTTTTTTTTTCTCCTTGTTTAAACTAATGTATAAAGATCGTAATACAACAAATATCTTAATGTCGTGGTGGCCCGAAGGTTAAGGAGCCCGTTTCTCGTGCATGAGGGTGTGGGTTCGAAACCTGGCAAGTACCAATGTGACTTTTTCCGAATTATATGTACTTTCTATGATTATTTAGACACCACTGACATACGGTGAAGGTAAACATCGTGAGGAAACCTGGACTTATAATTTCTAATTGTAAGTTTGAAATCGCCAACCCGCATTGAGCAAGCGTGGTGATTAATGCTCAAACCTTCTCCATGTGAGAAGAGGCCATTGCTCAGCAGTGGGCATTTATAGGCTGATGATGATGATGATGATCTTGACAGCGGCAAACAGTGGCAAACGGGTAAGTCTCGTTAAAAAAAAAGTAACCCGAAAATTATACCATCTTAAACTACATTGGTTAATTTTAATTAATTTATTTATTATACATAATATTATTTAAGAAACATTAAGAGGAGATTATAAGCATTCCAAAAATGTATAATACTTATACATTTATATCAAAAACTTTCGAGTAATGTGGCGTTGAATTGTAGTAATGTATTGTGCCAAAATCACATCATTGAACATGAGTTAGCTTTGATGCTTTTTTATATACATCACGGTTAGCAAAAAATAATTTAAAAAAATATAGAAAAGAAAGCTTATTTATAAGACTAAATTAATTAATTAGTTTTACTCCATATATCAACGACTTTCACGTGAAAGGGTTTTGAGACGGCCTTGTATGGGGCTTTCCCATAGTGCGCCGGCTCCACACGTTGGCCCCAATATAGGCCCCAACGCTTCTCGTCCAACGTGTGGATCTAGAAAATTGCATTGGCCCCAACGTTCGGGCGTAAATATGGGAATCGCTCTCACAGCAGTTTCAATTTCTGTATCGGACATCTTCATATTGGCCCTGACGGGACAGAACTAGTTTATTCGCCAACGTGTGTACGCCTCACAGAATTTGCGCTCCAACATTGGTGCGAGCGTTGGGGCCAACGTGTGGAACCGGCCTAAGCGTAATATTATGTAAGTTCGGTCATTTTGCGAACAGACACCTACTAGGCTTATTTTTTGAATAATAACTAAGTATCATGGAACACAAAATAGTTAATAACGACTTACTCACATGTGCCTATTAACTGAGAAAATCTCTGCCAGTTTCAAGTCACGACATGACTCTTGTTCAAGAGCAGCGTTCGCGTTACGGGTTAGCGTGGCTTCACGCAGCCACTTTTCGTTGTAATGTTATAACTCAAAAATGCCTTTACCGATTTCGTTAATTTTTGTCTTGAATTATTCGTGGAAGTACAGTGAAGGTTTGCACGTAGAGAAAATTTAAAAAAAATACTTGAAATAGTGTAAAATCGTCATTCACGCGGGTGGAGCCGTAAGCGACCGCTAGTACTTAATGAATAGTAAGAGTCCCATTGTGACTTGAAGCATTGAAGGTAATATAACTTGTCGAAGTTAATTCATGTAAATAAGTCGTCGTCACTAACAATATTTCTGTTATTTCTAATTCAAAAAGTAGTTATACATAAACACAATAAATTTACTTACAACTGTTTCATTCCTGTAAACAACCTCAGATGTTGTTTCAAAAGCTTTTTCATAGCCTTTACCATAACACCTGCAAAAAGGTTTATAAATTAAATATAAAATTACAAAACACACCTTTGAGAATGTGATCGTGAGAGTACCTATGCTTTACATTAAGGTGCCATGTTAATAACGTTTGGCGCTCCGATTGGCCAACCTGAAGTTGCAAGACGTGTAAGAAAAAAAGTTAATCCATCCACAGTGGGATATATTTATGATTAAAAAACCAACAAGTAAGTATTTGATCACTACGCTGTACAACACTTACTAAGGATATGTCAACTAAAATCAACACCTAAAGTCTTTAAAACACAAAATAAAAAAGTAGGTACCTATCTTGCTAGCTAAGCAAGATTAGTATAATCTTTATACTCAAGTTTGATTTATTATTATTTATATTACCTATTAGGGTTATTGCAGTATTGATTTGACTTGATACTAACATACATTGTTAGTTAAGTAGTTAGTTAGTTTAGGTCAAGTTTGTTATCTCACTAATATTATAAATACGATGCGAAAATTACGATGTTTGGATGATTGGATGTTTTTTACTCAATCATGAAATTTAGCACATGCCAGAATAGGACAGGCTATTTTTTAACAAGATACCACTCGGGCGAATCCCCGAGCGGAACCTAGTGGATAATATTTATAGAAATGTGCCTGATACTTGTATATTGAGAGAGCAATACTGTTCATACCAGGAGTCTTCTTCTTCTTTTTAAAACGTTGTCCCACATTAGGATTTTCTCCTGTGTCGTGGGTGCGTTTACAAACATACACATCACACCCAGATCCGGAACAACAATTGGTGGATCACACAAAGAGTTGTTCCGTGCGGGAATTAAAACGCGACACGTTGCACGGCAGCCAGTTGCCCAGCCACCGCGCCAACCGTGCAGTCGTGCTGGGAGTATCCAGATCTCACAGAAACACTGCCTTGAAATAACCACAGCGATGTGTTTCGCCTCGAAAATGTGCTTACCGGAGGCTTAACTCCTCTGGAGGTGGAGATATAGCTTATACCTTACCATCAGGTTAGCGCATTACCACCAATGAGCATAAAGGAACATAAAAACAAGTAAAATTACTTTGCATAATTAATTGATTTTTTGTAATACGTCTTAATTGTAAAGTTTTCCCCTTCTTGAACTGTATACTTTTTCATATCGTCTTTTCCATGATCGCAGGTTGGGTTCAGCATTTTATTATGTCCGTGTGGATCATTTTCAATTACATATTTAATTACAACACCATCTGTAAAGAATTAAGAATATATTTAGGGTTTTACCTGTAGTGCTTCTGAAGATGAGGATGTGGTTCTGATATTCCGCCTACATTACATTTATAAGTACGGGAGAACGCTTCGGCATGATACGGATCGACCAAAGTTCTACCACATAGTCTCACAGAAAACATGCATGAAACTACACTCGCGTTGTGTTTAGCCGTGCAAGTAACGTTTCTGTAGGCACCTGACCCCTTTTTTTGAGGGGGGAAACAACAAATGATTTTGATGAGGCGAGAGAAATTGTCAGACTCGTTTCACTTCTACAGGGCAACAAAGGGTTCGGAGGCTCAGCGGGGTTCGCTTAGCAACATCTTCATTTTAAGTTGGATTTATTTTAGTCAGTAACACACTCATCAAATTACCTTTTTTTTATGTTATAATTCGGCAAACGAGCATACGAATAATCTGATGTTAAGCAATCAGCGCCGCCCATGGACACACGTAATGGAGGAGTTACGACTGCGTTGGATTTTAGAGATTTGGGGATGGGGGAGGGATCGGGGTAGGGGAATGAATGGGCCTCCGGTAACCTCACTCACACGGCGAAACACAACGCTATGGTTGTTTGACACTGGTTTTCTGTGAGGCTGTAGTATCACTCCGGTCGAGCCGACCCATTCGTGCCGAAGCATGGCTCTCCCACATTTATGAATTGTGATGAATTTCTTCAGATAATGTGATGAATTTTTCCTTACAGTAAAAATGTTTGTTCATTGCGCAAACGTAGCTTGTGTCAGACAATAAAATCAAATCATGTACTGATTACTATTTTATTAAATTGTGTTTCTTATGAGAAACTGTTTATTTAAAGGGTAATTTGGAACCTACAAGTTTCTGCATGTTACTGCTATTAATACAGATGTAGTATCTTAGACTGCGGCACCTTTTCATCGTGTTCTAAGTCCCTAAGTTTCGATGGCTTGGGGTTATCGCTGTTAGGCTGTTAGTGTCCCTAAATCTGGCGATCAAGAGTGCCCGACTGCCCTAAGTGTCTAAGCCCCTAATTCACTATGAATCGTGCCGTCTGATCGCCACTTTCGCCACGGTTCCTTGTGTATGCACTCTTTTTGCCATTATAAAGACTTGCCACATGTAAGACCTTCATTAAAAGGAGCGGGTTCCCGATTTTCATTCATCTAATATTATTTTCTGACAGGATCCAAGACACTTATTGTTCATATTTGTGGCAGTAGGACGCACCGGACTTCATTATTTCGTTATGTTTTTATGGTTTTATCTTCTGCATCTTCTGCGGCTTCATCTTGTTTTTCACATATAAATTGACGTGTAAAAGTGCCGATTTATGGCCTATTTGCATAAATAAATTCATTGTTTCATTGCAAATCAGGGCTTACAGGAATGCCAACCGTTTAGAAGGTTAAGGACGTCCTGTTATGTCCTAGAAGAACCTTTTATTCGTTATGAATAATATAATTTGTATATTAAGCTGAAATATCGAATCAGGTGCAGTATCTACACTATTCCTAACCCTTAATTGAGAAGGCGTTATTTTCTTTACATATCTACTCACATTTTGTTTATCCTACACCTATCACGCGTTGGTTTAACTGTAGAAATGTTTCGTGGGACACATTATAAACGGTACTCATTCTCATCTTACAAACACAAACTTTTTTAAACACATTAACACCCAGAATTCTATAGACAAAGTCAAAGACACAATATCAAATTGCTAAATGACACAACAAAAATATTTTTTAATAGAACAACTACGCCCGAAATAGGGAAAATGACGAATTATTTGGCAAATATATATTATTATATGGATGGGTATGGACTCACCTGCAACTACTAATTCCATTAAAAGATGGCCGGTTAACGTTATAAGGAGTATTATTTTAAAACAACACATTGTCACATATATTTAACAAAGTATAAGAAACTAATCAATATTATGATAATAACACTATGTGCATTATTGTGGTTATAATAATGACTGTCCAACCAACTATATTCGTAGTCGTCGGCGATTTAATATACCGATTCCTGTTGACTCATCGATAAAATTCTATTCGAATACGATTCCCGCGTAATGTTTGAAATTTCTGGCAGTACTTATTTCTAATTACCGTAACTAAAATTTTATGAGCAGGCAAATTTTTACCAGCTGTATTGGCTGAGTCTTGTGACCAGAGTTCATTTTTCTGGCTGTGTGCTCTTTATATAGGTAGGCACCTACATGAATTTAGTCAAGTAATGTAAACAGGTAATGGTCAGATAATTTAGGAAAAGAGCCACTTTAAGACATTTTCTCTCTGCCGATATTTCCGTCAGCAATTGCCAGCCACAATAATGTACCGCGTGTGTGTATGTGCGATCCGACGAGTTTTTAGTCAATAGGTCTGAAAGTAGGGTGGAAGAAGTCGTTCACAAAATCGCTAAAAAAATCGAATGCAATTTTTACGTTAATTAAATCGATTCGTCATTCGATTAATACCCTTAGTATACGCTTAATTTATTTTATTCGATTCGGTTAACTTGACTCACGCTATTATCCTTGTTGCTAGTAATTTTCCTGTAACGAATACAGGCAGGCATATCAGAGAAATATTAATATTATGAAGTTTTCGATGTCATATTACATTTCGTTTATGCAGTAGGTATCGTGACTTACGAATCTATTACGAGGAAACTTTATTTTTATTATATTGCCTGTTTTAGTGCATTTTCCTGGATAATTATTAGGGTATAGCTCACGTAGGTATCGACACTAAGCGGTATTATTTTTTATCAAAACAATTTTGGAAGTAAAAAAAATCGGTTTATTAATCTCTAAATAAATTAACCTGGCTATTAATTTCTTATAGATTTAAAAAAGGAATTGCATGTTTCGATAAGTTGACAGTAGTCTAAAAATAAGTAGCTGAAACTGGGAAGTGGTTTTATCAAACCACACACATTACATCATAAACCTTTATGAGTAAGATCACTTTGTTAGTAAAGACCTCTTCTAAAATGGATTGAAGGTTCGAGCACGAAGCACTACGCTTGCACAAGGCGAATCGGAAATTATTTTTTTAAATACAACATCGTTAAGAACGTATTACGACAGCATTTTATTATAAGTAGGTACAAAATACAAAACAATCAACAACAACAACAACCATTAAAAGTAATTTATTCCGGCTTCTTATTGATTGACAAGTGTAGGAGAGGCATGCTTCGGCACGAATTGGGCGGCTCGACCAGAGTACACCTCCGACCTCGGCCTTACAGAAAACTGGCGTGAATCAATCATAGCATTCTGTTTCGCCGTATGAATGAAGTTACCGGAGGCCCAATCGTTCCTATCCCCAATACCTCCCCAATCCCAATATTTCCAAATCCCTAATCCCCAATAGGTCGGAACTCCATACTGTTGCAAGTATTCATGAGCGGCGCTGTTTGCTAACCATCAGGTAATCCGTCTGGTCGTTAATCCTCCTACCACATAAAAAAGGAGAAGAAGATAAAAAGAAGAAAGTATACATTGTAACATTGATGGTACCGATGGACGATAAAAAGCGTCCAAAAATAAGCACTTCCATAGATTCATACCTAAATATCAACTATCAAGAAAATTCCTTTTTTCATCACGCGGAGGTTTGTTGATTATTTAACTCTTATGAATCACTTCCACTTCTTTTCGAAGTAAGATACTACAAGCACTGAAAATACAATGCAAAAATCCGGTAGCCCAATTTCTTGAGTGCTGCCATCTAGATGGCACTAGTTAAAATACTTGGAACATTGGTAAGTTAAAACTGCAAAACGTAGATGTCGCTTCTTGTCTTGTCATATTTTCTTCCCATGTTGTATCGAAATTACATTTTTTATTTTAATTTGATTAGGTTAGACTAGTGAAAATAGTCTCAGACTAATTCAACACAACATAATTTATTTTTGTGGAACAAATTCCAAGTCTTCATTACGATTTGTGCTCTGCGCCAAATCATCCAGAGGTGGCGCTGCTAGTGCTTTTTATTAGTTCAAGGTAGGTAATATAAGTACCCTATATTTAGTTTACGAAAAAAAAAAATACTTAATCCTCAATTGATGTTATTCATTTACCTGCAGAAGCCATGTAAAAATTGATATTCAGAAAAAAACAATTTAAAAACATCATGATAGTTTATGATATCATGACGTTTAAAAATATTGGAAATATTAGATATTATTAATGTTTTCAATGTAATTAAATAACCTAACGTGAACGATTATAGTTTCATTACATACATTGCTCTAAATATTAAAATTTTGGTAGGTGTGGTTTTTGACCAACTCATGTCTGATATTTTAATAGAAATCAGAACTAACTCACTAACTAACTGAAGGTGTCGTGTGTATGTGAAATTGAATGTTTGTAACCGCACCCACGACACAGGAGAAAATCCTAAGGTGGGGCAACGTTTTTTCAAAAAAAAAACTAACTGAAGAGATTATTTCGAAATTGAACCTTATCATTGAAACAATTTTTTTAAGAAGACCTTATTTTTTAGTTTGGTCTCTTTTATATTAGACTTACTATTTAATAATATAAAACAGCGCCATCTACATCGTACAATATATTGAAGTTTCGAGCCCAAATATTATTGGTATCTACACGGGACGGGTACCCATTGGTTGGTACGTGAATGAGCATTTTTTAAGCGATTCTTTCTACCGCTAGATGGCAAAAAGTCCAACTTCAATTTTGAAGTACCTAAAGGTTTGAAGTTTATTTTTCCCATTAATTTAAATACGTATTAATAAAAGTGATTGCGAATAAAAATACATTTAAGAAAAACTGCACCGAACACGCGTATTTTGTATTTTTACACAGTTCTACTTAATAAACACCTCCCGTCAACTACCTCCCATTTATACCCCCATCCCAAACAGCCCAGAGGAGTGACACCGTGGCTTCCCAGGAATCTTCCTGAGACCAACACGTACCTACACACTAAATGTGGGAGAGCCAAGCCAAGAGGCACGAATGGATCGGCTCGAACGGTGTGACAGAAAACTGGCGCGCAAAAACCACGGCGTTGTGTTTCGCCGTTTGAGTAAGGTGAACAGAGACCCAATCCTTGTTCTGCACCATCCTGCCACAATCCCTAAAACTCCGAATACCTCTATCTCCAAAAGGGCGACAACGCACTCGTATTTAGACCGGCCTTGGGAGCTCCGATTACTTACCATGAGGTAACCTGTAATTTACTGTGCCTGTAATCACACTTGCCGACTTATCCCATAAAAAACGAAGGCGGTGTTTCATAGCGCGACTGAGGTTACCGGAGGCATAGTGTCTCCTTCCCTTAAAAGGCTGGCGACATACTTGTAATTTCCTTGATGTCATATAGTGATTTATCTGCACGATTACTCTCTTATAAATAAGATTACAAAGACGAACAATTTTTTTTTTTTTGTTCTAATTATATACTACTTAATGCTGCTACTATGCTCTGCCCCATCCACCCAAAACCGCAGCAACTTCTGTAAGCCAGGATCTATGTAGGTATATACGACCACGAAAACACCGGAACACTAAAGTCTGACGCGTCCCATGTCTTGGATCCCGCAACGAAATAAATCAGAAGATATTATTCGAGGAGAAGAAAAAACGAAATAGTCTCCACTTCCGACTGCAAATTTTACACAGGAGACAGAATGACTTAATGCTAGAGGTACAAAAGAGTCTGTAAAACTGGGAGAAAACCAGTCACCAAACACCACGGAAAAGTTACTATTGAAATATGTAGGTATGGCAATAACGCATGGAACAAGGTGCATACGTATAAGAAACTTCACCTGATGAGATATTAAAATTTTTAATAAACAAAATTACATAAAAAAAATACATTACTACTTAAGACTATTTACTGCGAGGCCAACTCTTTTATCCTACTTCCTTCTTGAATTATAGGCACGAATGTTTGTACCTTAGTGGATGTTTGTTACTCTTTCACGTAAAAACTGCTGAGTGGATTTTGATAAACTTTGACACAAAGATAGATTTTAATCGGGAGTAGCACAAAAGCTATCACCCGAGTAACATGGACAAAACCGGTGACAGACTTTATAAAATTTAGATTTTTATATTATACGGTAATTGCAAATAAAAATTTCAAAAAAAATCTGACAAATTTGTTCATCATCATCATGAGTTAATAGTTGTATCTTATAAAGTCACATTTTTGCAGTAAGTTTAGTCCTAAATAATATAATTGTATATTAAAACCTTTTAAAATCTTGGAACATTAACAAGGCTTGCCTGCGTATCATTTTGCCACACCATCGTGATAAAACAATAACAATCGCGCAAGCGTACCCACATTAAAATATTTGTATGAAATCATTGAAGAAAAAGAGACAAAAATAATATTTTCTATAAATCGAATAGGTATACAAAAAGTACTTTATATTCAAAACAAGTCAAGACCATTTGAGACTTTCTTATTTTGTCGTCTTATACGATCGAATAGTGTTGAAATTATGAAAAATGACAATCGATTAGTTTACTTACTACTTCAGAAATAGAGTGTAGTTTGGTTTGCGGTCATTTGACGGCTGATGTCGGCCGCCATTTTCCACAATGGCCGTCAGAAACGCGACATCTATGCAGAGTTTAGTGTCATCGCGAGCGTGCGTAGCTTGGGTCGTGCGTGTTTTTATCAGCACTATATTGTTTGCATCCATTGTATAAAGAAATATGACACGAAAAATTGCTCGGTGTAGTCATAACTCATACGTATCTGTCGTGTTGTAACGGAAAAAAGTTTATTTATTATAAATCGTGCCGTGCCGTATTTTATTGGTCCGCTACATAGTAAAATAATGAATTTAACACGCCGCCGCAGTCTTCTGTTTGAATTGTCGTGAGCCTTGTTGTGGGATCGATTTTTAGGTGTTATTAATGAAATTACGGAGGTGCTCGCGAGTGATATTGTTACTTATAGAACCCGTTTTAAAACACTCCCGTTACGGTGGTGTTCAGT